GTCCAAATAGGAGAACCTTTTAATGCCACTCGAGCACACAAGAGTTGAAGGAAAAGAGAGAATTGATGATATGAATCCTACCTCAGAATTCCTTCAGGTTCAAAAGGAGCCCAACACCATGATGGAGCATCATCCTTGAAAGGTCCCTCATATGGAGAATTTTTAGTGCATGCCTGCAGAACAAAGATCCATCAAATGTGTTATGGATGAACTTAATCCGGTGATAATGGAGATGGATAATCACAAAAAGAACTACATTGGAGGGAAGATAAATTTTTGTGAAGAACCAATCACCTTGGATCTCTTCCAAGCCGGACGTGGATACATGTGATTGATTCCAAGTATCCATCTATCAATATAACCCACTGCATTGCAAGGAGGATCAAGATTTCCTCTCACATTGCAAGTTACCTAATACCAAAAGCAAAGTCTTTTGACATTAAATATAGAAATATTAAAGGTAAATTTGGAACATGGACAAGTGAAACTCACGGCTAAAGTCTTCCCAAAATGAACACTGTCCGGGTTCTGGACAACAAAATTCCAGTCAGGAACATATGTTCCATATAATGTGGCCAAGTAAACTACTAAAACACATGCTCCAATAACCCTGAAATCATGAAGAAATGTTCAGTACTAACTTGGAGATGCTTGACACTATCACCACTTTGGAATAATACTCACCATTGCCAGCTGTATAACTTAAAAATGGAGAACCATCCCGTTGGTAGTTCTTTGGATTGGGCTTGTCTTGTTGTTATTTCTATTACTGCCACTACCAAGTAAGCGATAGCAATTCTCTACAAAGATAAGAAGCAGAAAAATTATCAACACAAGATATTAGCATTCAAAAGAGAGACAGAAAAGGGGGTGGGATCAGAAACTGTTACCTGGAGGATGCCACACAACCTTATCCTATTCATGTCAACACCATATTTTAGCTTGTCAAGATCATGGAAATAACCCCCTTCACAAGTCAAAGGATGAGGTTAGGCTTCTAATGACTTTGGGAAGAGGAAAGATGAGATGCAAGACCAGTTTTAAGAAATGGATTCCCACTTGGTTGAAAGTTTCTATCTGAAGCCAAACATAATTCTCTTTCCTAAACGAAAGCTAATCAGTAGATGTCATTACTGATCATTCATTCTGGGATAGGTGTCCATTAGAAAGGAGAAAGGATCTGTAGATTCATCAGAGCTAAAAAGTAGTTACAACTAATTTCAATCGCAAAGGTTGGTAGAATCACAGAGAGAGGGCTAATAAAGCAATAACCCCCTAAGGTGAGTACGTGTGACTACTTTAGGAGATCCAATATATGTTTAAGTCCCATAAAGCTATTCATCAACTTCTAAATCATAGCATTACTAATTACTATGGATGTTCTACACTGAAGACAACCTAAATTACTTTTTCAGGTTTACAACTGTGAAACCTCACCAGAGAAAGGGAGAAAAGGTTACTTCTTTATTTCAGAAGCTTGTAAACACTGTAAGTCCAACACTTCGCCTAGATTTTCTAAGATATATTGGATAGGAATAGAAAATGCATTTTGCATGAATTATGGGAACTTGAAGGAAAGAATAAAATAAAAGGGAGGAAAGAAAGATAATTGACCTTGTAAAAGGAGGCCCCAAAATAGAAGTTTGAGTGTCCTTAGAATCACCTTTCTGATGGCCGCTAGCTTTTCTGGTATTCTCTACACAATAAGTAGTTTAGCACCAATGAGTAGGACCAGTTACCTTACTTTATCTTCTTAAGAATGGGAAGAAGAAAAAAGAATGCAAAGATAACCTTCAGAGCAAGTGCTATGGCCATTCCCACAATAAACAGAAAGAATGGCATCACAAAATCTGCAAGATTGCAACCATTCCATGGTGCATGCCCGATCATAGGCCATTCTCCTCCCGCATCATCAACCAAGACCATCAGCTACATATTCGACAAACCTTTTTTTGTCAGGAAGTTTTAAAGGCAAGCAAATGATGGCGTCTGACTAACACTACAAGTATTCAGAAAAAGAAAACAACATTCTAAATTTGTCCCTGAACAATTCTCTGTGTCAACTATTTTCTTTTCTCCAGATCTCAAGTTTAGTTGAGATATTAAGACACCTTCCAACGTTCCACAGCAAGGTAACTACCAAGGGTACAGAGGAAAAACATTTTCCAGAAAATAAGCAAGTCATTTTCTAACAATCAAATACCAAATAACATTCATATTCCCCTTTCACTAAAAGGGATTAAACAAACAAGTTTCTCCATTTATGTTTTTCTCTGACAGACCATTTGAACTAGTTTCTAAATTTTAGTAAGTCATCTTCTGTTTAAAGAATCCGGGCCATTACCTCTCGTGAATCTATGAGATGTAATCATTGTCCAAGTAGAATTATAATCCCATAGTTCCAATCTTCGCCAAGTAGGAGAAGGAAAGGGTCTTAAGAAGAGAAAGATGAGTCAAACTTACTGCAACAGTGAGGCCTCTGAAAATATCAAGGGAAGCAACTCGCTTCGTCTTTTGAGGCTTTACTTCTTCTTCTTTCTCCATTTCTTGAGAATCAACTATCACATGCTCCATATCTACGTTGATGCCAGCCATCAACTACACTAACGCTGATGATGAGGAGAGAAATATGTCCAACACAAAATGATATTTTATTTTTTATATAGCAACATTTTGTCTACATAAAATAATATTTAAATTTTATATAGCAACATTTTGTCTGCATCCCATAATCAGTTTGTCTTTATACTAAAGATTCCGTCACTGCCTTGAAGTGGCTTCAATTATTGGATAAGTTTTCTTTCGTAAAACCTCAAACAAACAGGAATTATAAACTGAATTCGCAGAATACATAGCAAACCGAATACATAACAAATATCAATTTAGGTTGCCTCTATCCCTATTTTTTTTTTTGTAAGTTCGCACGTTTCTAAGGATAAGATATCTAGATAACTCTTAATTAGTGGTAAGACATGAAAGTATATCTAATTACATAATTTTTCCAAAAAAAGTATCATATTATCAATGAGAACTCATCCAAATTTGGCATGTACTTGAAACCTAAAAGTAAAGAAGCAATAATCACAACTTTTGGAAAATAATTGTAAATACCAAATGTTTGCCTCTCTCATCTCAAGTACAGAAATATTTGACAAGAACCTCAGCTTCTCGGATTGGGAAAAGAAAGCTAGCTCAGTTTTCATTTAAAATTAACACACATACTGAGGGTCAAATATTTTCAAGACACCAACTCTTGCATATGTCTTCGTAAAGGAAAGAGAGTGAGCTTTTCAAGCCTACATACATTCCATCTTAAATTAATAATAACTGGAAGCAGCAGGCCTTTTCTCCGGTAAGTTGCTTTATAATTTGAAAGTACAAACAAAATTAGATACAATATATCTAGCTTGTCGTCTGGCTTCTTTTTCTCTAAATGACGGTGATCAGCCACGTCCACGGCCACCACCTGTACAATAAACACCATCCAGAATCATCTGATTAGCAAATGGCTATATAAATAATGCGTTCACAAATATACTTGAGGGCTGTTACAACTAAGAGACTTGCTGTATGGAGACTAATTTCAAGCATTGAACATGATAGTCAGTCTCCTCAATCTATCTACTTAGAATGTATTGCTAGATAGATATATGCATGAATAAGGTATCTCACATGGAAATGCATTGCCACGGATTGAGACTCGGAGATGACATGAAAATTTAGCAAAATGAGGATAAAATTACATATTAACTTTGCATATTGAACACTTCATACCTTTTCCACCAGACTTGGCACCAGGTCCTCCTTTGCCTCGGCCTTTGGCGCCCGCATCTTCCATTCCACGCCCAATGCCTTTCCCCTGTCTTCCAGCAGCACCACCTTCATCCCTACCTCCTCTTCCCCTTCCTCGTCCACCTACACCAGGTGGTTTTCTATCTGCAAAAGGATTTAAAAATATACTAATTAAGTTAAATGTTCAGACACTGATTCTAGGGTAGTAGGGAAGTATCTGTAAAATCAACAAACTCCGCACTGATCCAATAGCTAAAATAGAAGTGGTTATAACAATTCCTTATAATTAATAGTCCAAAGCAAGTACCTCCACGGCTTTTTGTTTCTTCTTGAACTTTATCAATAACCTGGAAAAGAACACAAATAGCATAGTTAACCAAACAGCACTAGGAGGGATTATTAACTTGGTCAAATGAAGAGCCAAGGGCAGACTAAGCTTCCAGAATTAATGAACTACTGCAAACTCAGTCTCCAACCCCAGTGATAAAAATGAACTATTTAAACAAGTCAACACAAGTAGGCATGTCCATTAAAATATATATAATCAAGAATATCTACAAAGCTTAACCTCTCAGTAAATAATGTTGCAATACTAAAGTTATTCTATGTATAAAAGAAAAGGCAATCTGCATTCTTTTCCATTTTCGTAGAAGTGAAAGTGTAAATCTGCCATTTACATCTGAAAGGATATAGAGAATTTTCATTTTACAGGTTACTTCTATCTGTTAACATTATGACCTTCTAAAAGAAAATGTGAGCTGCCCATGAAAACTCTTCTCACCTACATCTCCTTTACAAACTCCCCCCCCCCCCCCATGTGTCCAAACAAAGGAGAAGTACAGAAGATTAGGATAACAGCTGTATTCAAACATCATCTCCCTTCCTAGATAGTACTGAAAGCCCACACAAACAAAAAGAAAAGCATCTAAGGAATTAAACACTGGGAAAAGATGGTTCTTGGCACTCCTAGAAGATCAACAAAAGGATAACTTCCAAAACTCAAAGGTCATTCCTGAATCAACTATGAATGTGTGGAAGGTGAATGGACGAGAGAAGCTAGGATAACTTCCCATATGTGCCTGTCATGAACTATAAAAAACAGGGCAGAAGAGTGAATCTCTAGGAAGAAATTAGAAGCAGAAAGCAGGGGCCGCCACTTTATTTAGTCAAAAGTGCAAATGTTATATTTCACATGGAAGCTCGTCATCGCTAAAGCAATCTCTCATTGCCATCTTCATAGAGTCACACTCCTACCTAAGGTGTCAGATTCAACGGTCCATAGGGAGCACAACAATGTCTGATTTGGCTAAATTGCATCACATCAGCGTAATCAATTCTCCTCTTACAAGAATGTGCTACTCACAGTCACGGGGAAATAAACACAGTGGACTACAGGCATGCAAGAAAGAACAACATCAATAGTGGTTCAACCTAATGATATCTAACATTTTATAAAAAAAATTTGTATAGGATATCTGATATAAAATAAGCCATTAATATTGGAAAATAATTACTTAGAACTAAGAATTATCCAACTTCCGAATCTTAAATGAAAACCACTTGGCTACACATCTTATTTGAGAAGAACACTATGTTCAAAGTCTAAAACACTAATGGTCCAACCACAGCAATGATTTCACTTCAAGAAACCTATTTTATCGGTCGAAAAGAGGCAACAAGAATATTGGATGCATTTATATTAACCCTATAGGAACATCAGAGTTGTGTTGTAAGTTCAACCTTCAGTTTCCTCCATTTTTCCTTAGACATGTGTTACTGCTGATACCTCTTTTAACTTTCTACCCGGTTCTCTATGCTTTCCAGCTCTGATTCCAAGTATGCCATAGTTAAGTTTAGCCCCATAGGCCCAGACACCACAGATTAGCTAGTAACATAACTTCAGCCTACAACAACACTACTGAAACCCACCCCTAAAAGCCCCATTGAGTAAAGTAACCAGAGAAGTATATCCATGAGTCTGATCACACCAAGATTAGCTAGTATCTTGAGTCCACCTACCTACATCAAACCAAGCCCCTAAATGCACCACGATAAAGGTGTTAATGGACCGTCCTCCGTGTTACGTACAAGATGTTATTAAGTAAACTAAAATGTGTTCTCCCTAACAACTTAAGCTTTTACATCAGATTATCACACATTTCACATCTCAACATAGTGCAATTCTCAACCACCCCATTATCAGCAAATAAGTTGTGAGCTTGGCACAGGAAAAAAAATTCAGGCCTGCATGTTAGGAGGCGTGTAAAAAAATATTTATTGTGTATATTAACGTGTAATCGCTATGACAACTAAAGATTGTTCAAACTCATTGTCATGTTGGGTGATAGCACTAAAGCAAGTATTTAAGTCCCAGTTAATTAAGTAGAAACTGCCATTCCACAACTAGTATACAAATTTTACAGTCACCCCTGCCAAGCGACCATTTAATAACACAAATAACTACTGCAAAATAGGCACCCATCTTCTGTTCCCTTAGTACAAGGTCCAAACGTTCCATACACACTATGTTGCAAGTGAAAAAGCGAATAATACTACACAAAAGCATTATTAATCATAGCAATTAAGAAAACGAACTAACCTCGTCAGGAACTCTAAGATACTTTATGGTATTGCCACGAATATAACATTCAGGCATTCTCCAAAATCTATCTCCATCCTGCATTGATTTTTCAAAATCATGTGGTCTTGCACCAATACATTTGAAAACCTAGCAATAACATATTTAATAAACAATGAATTACCTTTGACGTACAGATAACTTCACGAAGATGGATATTCATCCAAGTATCACAATTCACCAAATGACCATTATAAGTCTCTCCATTTTTTAGTTCCACCAGCTGTATTAGAAAACAAAAGTTTCCAGATTAAGATAATTGAACAAATACAATCAACTTAAACAACGATAATCCCATACAAAATCTCAAAATCCCTGGAATCTCGTGGATTCCAGAAACTTGTGGCATATTTTGGAGATACTATATAAATAAGCAGAAACTTGATAAACTATACCAACAAAAAATCTGTTGCCTTTAAGAATGTTAGCCAAAAGCCTCAACTAACAACTGGACAAAACATGAAATCATTATTGTTATTCTCCAGGAGAATTACACTCCTGTATACCTATAACTACTTTATTCACCGGGTTTGTTGTTTTTGTATGTTATTCATAAGTTAAGGTTCATTCGAAACATGCAGCACTTGAAAAACCTAATTGAGCTAACTGCATTACCACACCGAAAAGAATTAAGATCAGACTAAACAATAAACAAGAAAGAGAGAAACAAAATAAGGAGACACTACCCCTCTTCCACATGAATTCAAAAGCTTACCATGGGATGCCCCTGTGCAGTCTTGAGCAAAGAGAGGGGAAGCTGAGACAGAAGAAAAAATAAAATTAGAGCTTCATAAGAACTCAAAACCCTAAACCTACAGCTCAGAAAGCGATTGTCGCTAAACCTACCATCTTTAGATGGGGGAAGTTCCGAATTCAAGATTGCCTGCAAAAGTCAAAACACACGGATTACCAATACAACAAAAAACTGATCCCGAAGAACTGCGCACACACACACAAAAAAAAAAACACTTAAATCTGTAAATTCTCTCTTTCTTTACATTCAAAACCTAGGCACACTTAAATCTATAAATTCTCTCTTCTTTACAATCAAAACCTAGATAGTGCATAGTTTATACGCATAATCTTTGCTAATACATATAAGATATTCAAAGCCTTACCTAGCTTGATCTTCGTCTTTTTCCTCCCTTTTGTTGAAAAAGAAAAAGAAAAACGAAAGCGTTAAGGTTCGTAGATTAAACTTGAACTGTAGCAAGTGGAGTCCAGCTTTATTGTAAATTGAAAATTTTCTGTTGTACCGCCGTTAGGGCTATCAAGTATGAATTGGGTGGGCTCCACGTTTCATGGGCTGTAAATTGAATTGTCTACTACTTTCATTTTCACCTTTTTTTTAAACTAATATTTAACAGGATAAGTTTAGTAAAATAAATTATAAAATTAAATAGATGACATGCATATATTAAATAAATATAAATATCATATTCTTTATTAATTTACGAATATAGATTTCTTTATTCTTAAAATCAACTTCAATTTAATTTGTTTTTTTAGAAAATCAACTCAACTCAATTCTTTTTTTTATATATTCTAAATAGGATTTATTTATTTCTTTTCAATATTATATTTTTATTTCTATTTTATTCTTATTTTCATAAGAGAAATTATTGCTTCTTTTTTTGTTCTTAAAATAATCACTTTATGGGGTAATTTTTATGTGATATAATTTTTTATTTTTTAAAATAATTTTTAATGTAAAATTATATTTTATTCTAAATTTTTAAATAACATAAATTACAATAAAGTATTATATAATATAAAAATTAAAGCACAATTCGAATAAAAGTGAAATCATTAATGAAATACAATTACATAAACATTACATAAATATTCAACTTTCAAGATTATTATGTTACTCCCCAAATTGCTCTAATAAGAGCAACTTTCACATATCGTAATACAAAATTCAAATTTGTATGCTATAGCAAAGTTTGCATAATTGCACTCTATAGCAAACATAAATATGTATAATTTCTAAACATGTACAAAGAAACCAATTGTATAATTCACTATACATATACAAAAGAAAGCAGTTGTATACAAATCAATTGTATAATTTGTGTATGTATAAAACGAGAAATAGAGAAAGACAAAGGAAATTTGGGCAGAGGAATATTTGTATTGTATAATTATAAGTGTATAGCATGAAGATATATGTATTTGCAAGTTTATATACAATTTTCTCTCACTTTATACAAACAGAAACACAATTTACACATTTCATTTATGTTTGTATAAGCGAAGGTAGCGAGCGAGATATGGGAGAGTAGCGAGCGAGAACGGAGAGCGGGGAAAGAAAATGTATGTATATATACAATTTTTTTTTACTTTATAAAAACAGAATTGCATCTTATAAACTTGTGTTTGTATAAAAGTGAGAGGGAGCAAGTCGAGAGAGGAAAAGTGGCGAGCAAGAATTTGAGGAAAGAGATGACTAACAAACAGTTTGCTACAGGGTACAATTAAATTAAAGTATAGTTATAGCATTTAATTTGATTTATTAGTTTACCAATATATACAATTTTTCCTTGTAACAATGCACTATGGAGTTCAAAATTAATATTTTTATCCTTAATTTTTACGTAACTAAAAATAGTTCAAATTAGAAATTTTCATCTACCACAAACTATTGTACAATTAGAGTAGCTATATCCGAACAACAAGACGACGTAAGGCTAAATAGATATGTCAAACTCAAGGAAGTTATATAAGAAAATAAAATTTTAATATAATTTTAGAAGTTATTAGTGATATAAATGTTCGTAATTACGTGCAAAAAGAACAACTATAAATAATTGAAAAAAGAACTCGATATGCACAATCGCAGTAATAACAAATTTTTGGCCCATACATTGTTTTTCCCAGAATATAGCTAAATCTAAAAATGACCTATTGAATTACTAAATTATCGTTATGATAAATAAGTTATTATGTTATTTATGATATTGTTATTTTTGTATTTAAACTATTATCTTATGTATTGTACTTTTACGTAGTAATTAAATGATTATCTTATGTATTAGACTATTATCTTATATTTAAATTATTGTGTATGCATTGTATTTTTTAAATTAGAATTTTCATCTCATCATTTTAATGGTACTTTCTTTATAGTGAAAATTAATAATGAAATTAAATTATATTAGTGACGATTTTTTTAAATTTGAAACATTATCAATTCGAAATGAATATAGTATATATTAAAATAATATATTTTTAAACGTATCATATTACATTTTTAAAAATTACGAATATTAGATATTTAAGTGATAACATTATATGTAAAATAATATGTTAATTATATAATAATAAAAATAACAATAAAGTGGTTATTCAAATTTGTAAAACTAATATTCACCTCTCTGAAAATAAAGAATATAGATTAAAATAAAGAGGAGCCGGAGTGTCTTTTCTCTATTTTTACTCTCCAAATATAAAAATAAAGACTAAAATAAAAGTGAATTGGAAATGATCTAAGCATTGAAACGTTCCAAAGGAAAACAGTATTGAACGATACTGGAAAAAATAAAAATTGGACAATAGTTTCTACTTTGTCTGTTTGGTTGTCGTCCAATATCCCATTTTAGGATATATCTGTTTAATAAATATGTTCTTTCTTATTACTATAATTTAAGGACACTTTAAATCATAATCTTTCTTCAAAACAAACAAAAAATCTAATAAGAAAATATTATATTACATTCTTATAATATAAATTATGACGAGCGTTACTTACAATCAAATAGAGTATTAAGATTGAAAACAGCACGAGCAAAACAATCATTAGACCAAAATGTAAACTAATTCAAAAGTATAATTTATCTCGAGTTTTCATTTGCATAAGTTTTTAAAAAATAAAAAACGATTTCGAAATGAAAGTTATTTAAAGAAAATGACATGTACATGGTTGGATTTGGGCCATAGGTTTACTAATCATTTGTCAGGTTAAGGTGGCTCAATCAATTGAGGGTAAACTAGTAATTTAACGAAAATTCGAAATTGAAAGGGAAGGCAAAAATTTCAAAAATCCCACCAAGAACTAACTGCCAAAAAAGAGTTGGGCAATAAATCAAACAATTTAGATGTGTTTTTGATTCTTTATCTCAAATTTAAAACTAGTAGCATTATATGTTTTCAACCTATATTTTTAAAATTGAACGTTTCAATGTTAAGAACTTGATCAAAATGGACAAATTTATATGCATCTATTCATAATAATATATCCATCCTTATAAAATTGTGAATACGCCTCTAAATGTGATGCACTTGAAACATTATAATATGAAGTCATTGTAAGTTGAGCAAACCTGGGAAGTGCATGTGCAAAATTACCCAAGAATATGGTCATTCACCCATTAAAAATTACTTTGACAAATAAGATGCAAGTATGTCAGACACATCTAAGCGAAAAATAATAGAAAGAAAAAAAAGAGCAACAATTTCAATTGGATACCTTTCTTCACCCACCCTAAGCAAGATTAGTTCACGCATCTTCTGCGTAGTACTAACACAAACTTATCCCTGGAATACAATATATTGTTCGGAAAAGGTCCAAATATACCCTCATACTATGAGAAATTAAGCATATTTTCTTCCAAGTTCAAACATTCCTCTAATTACAAAGTAAAAACTATATATTTTATCAAAAGAGAAGTCACCAAAGCAATGAACATGGCTTTTTTGAATTGACAATTGCTCCAACTATATACGATTCGTTGCAAAATTTGAAGTAAAGTTTGGCTCTGATTTTGTGCACCTCAAGTCAATCAGCTGAGTCTTTTAGGTTGAACACCAGAAGTATGTGCCTCCTCAATACGTCTGGTAAGCAATGATATTCCGTAATGTGAGGCACTTGAAGCAGTGTAATACGAAGTCATCGTAAGTTGAGTAAATCTTGGAAGTGCATATCCTGTAATGCAAAAACTGGTCATTTACACATCGAAAGTTAATTCAATAAAGCATGAGAAAAGATCTTTAGATTATTGTCATTAAAATACTTTTTAGTGAATGTAAAAATGAGTGACTACTTTATTTTCCTTTAAATGGCACTTTCTTCTGAATTATTCCTTCAAATTTAATTTTTTTTTTGAAACTGGTAATGTTTTATTCTTCAGCATTAAGAGCATGCTGGACACCACCAAAAAGTGTCAATTACAAACTTCCTATCAAATCTACAATCTGATCTGTACCTACTATACACAATTGTTTACACTAAAAAAGTAGAGATACTATACGATTCCATTTAACCTTGTGTATGGAATTGGATCTATTGTCGAAACATCTATTGTGCCTTTCCTTCCAAACTGACCCCCATATACATGACCTCCACCATCTCTTCTGGCTTTTGGTACCTGCTCTCCTTACCCAGCTCTTTAACATGTTTGATGTACGTTCTGGCATTGTCCAATTCAGATTTGAGATGCTAAGGAACAAATTCCAGAAAGAGCCTAATTCATTGATATACGAAATTCTAGTTTTGAAAAATAAAGTGAAGAAATACTTCTTTGGGACAAGTAGGGGGAGAGAGTCGGCTGGGCCTGCTTTTTCAATCAATCTCCGGGCGCTCGGTGACGAGCACATCTAAGAGAAAAATAGAAAAAGAAGTTCATGGATTTCAATTGGATACCCTTCTTCACCCACCCCTAAGCAAGATCAGTTCAGCAGGCCAATTCCCTATGAGCTAACTTGTTCCCTGGATACAATCTATTGTTCTGGAAAGGTCCAAATATACCCTCATACTATGTGAAATTGAGCGTATTTTTCCTCCGTTTATACTTCAATGTACTTAAGCCCTTAGCATCAAATACTTGGCCCACATACACCCTTATTCTGCTCAATTGCGCATAGTATTTGGACCAAGTATTTGACGGTAAGGGCATAAGTGAACTTAAGTACTAATATAGGGCAAATCTGCTCAATTTTGCATGTATAAGGGTATATATTCGGACCTTCTCTGTTATTGTTTAGAAAGTACGACAAAGCAATAACTAAAAAAACTAAGTCTAATAAAGTTCTATATCCACAAATCTCCAAATTTAGAAGTATTTGAATCTTTGGATCCTTGATTGTGCCTGGCCTGACACTATTTCACCGACCACACCTCTTATTCAAGTGCTCAGCATTTCTTATAGTGACAAGAAGATGTTCATATCTTAAAGAAGACAATTAACCTTGGCATAACAGAAAGCTTGCTCAACAATGATCTGAAAGTAACAAGTCCGAATATATCGCATACATTCAACAAAATACGAATATCAGAACACGTGCAAATTTCTTATAAGAAAAAAAACGCGCACCTAACCTGTAGAAGACACAAAATTTGTGGACTACTCTACTCCACTTTTAATATTGAGCTGTAAGGAAGGAAAAGGTGCTTAAATTTATTATGTGCATAAATTGCAGTTTTTGTGGCTACTTAGTTCACATGATTTATGGATGAACTTGTCAACCACATGGCACGGAAGCTACAGGTGTAATGTAACCATTTCTTCTCTCCGAGAATTATTTCCAGGTGAGGCTCGTCTACTTTTCCATCAAGTGTCATAGCACTTCCTTAGTGTTGGTTTAGACATCAATCATACTCATCACAACAACATTCCAAGTGTAATCCCACAAAGTTGGGTCTAGGGAAGATAGAGTGTATGCAAATCTTACCTCTATCTCAAGGTAGAGGTAGAGAGACTGTTTTCGATAGACCTTACCTCTACTACAAAGTGGGGTTTAGACGTCAGTCATTCAAAAATAAAATAAAATACACCCTCCTGAGCCAACATTATATTATTACCACAATTACCTTATTTGGTCGATTAAGGTACACCTTTAAAATACAACAGATCAACACTAGAGGGGTTATTTCTGATATGTGTGATTGTTAACTTCTCACTTGATGGAACATGAAAATACAAGACCTTTCGGTAACTGGTGATATCTCTCACCATAAATATGTTATTCCATAAAAAAAAAGTAACCGGAGTAAGGCTGAACAGGAGCGAAAGCAGTTTTTCGTCAAGTTTAAAGAATCAAAGTGATTCTACTCTACGTACAGCAAGAAACAGAACAAGGTATTTCTTCTTGATTACAACATTCTCTTCACATCCATTATAAATTGTGATTCCTTACAGAATATAGTTGAAACCTATGTTCATTAGAAGTAGATAAGCAGGGACTGAAAATAGTACTAACAATTATATACTTGCGTAAAACGGAAGATTATACATTTAAGTTTACTTCATACTCAAAATACTGATGGAATATAAAGCAAAGATACCCAATAGATATCCTAGCAAGTAATTATTGCAGTAACCTTCAAATTACCAACTTCTAAGTATTGGTGCATAGGGAAGTATTGTTGCTGAGGGTTACTTATCAAAAAAAAAAAGTTAATATGATGAGTGTCATGACAACTTTATCATCATTTCATAACATGACACATGCTAAATTAAAAGAATGAAATTATAACTTCATAGAATTACCTCCAAATGTCGCGCTAGCTGCAGAGAACATGAGTAGTGGAGGAAGCTGCAAGAACAAAACAAGGGGAAAGGTGAAGCTTTAGATAACACATCAATTGTATACTCAACTGTACATAGATTTGAGTACAATACAAAAATCAAGAATACAATGAATAGGAGGAAGACCGAAAGAAAAGAGTTCAAGATCAGAAAAGTGGATTAAGTGCCTACCCCTATAACAAATGGAAGCCACTTTGGACCCTTCACGTGTCTCTGGACAAAAGGAATTCCTGAAAAGTACTAGCATTAAGACTTCAACTCTGAATTCATTAGATAAAAGAGAGGGAAGTATTTATTTTAAGATTTCAACCACGATTTACTATAAGGAGAATAATAAAATAAAGATAACAAAGATAAGCACAGAAGAGATGATTAATTAATCATGCCTGTATTGAAACCATGAATTGCACTGAGCAGTCCACCAATTCCAGAGCCAGCCTACACAAAGGTAAAGAATATTACTTTAACTAGTTGGTAAAAGCTATTCTTATTATGATTGCGCTATAACTCTGTTCACTGTGGGTTTATTAGCCTTGTCCAACCGATTATAAAAATTATGATTAGTAAGACAAGGGTAAAATATTCGGCTTCAGGTAAAAGATAGTCTTTCAGATTTTCAGGTGGAAGACATTCAAAAATGGAACTCTTTCAGGGGTTACAATAGAAACTTTCCTCTGCATTGAACTCAACTAAGCTCAATTCCAATTCACTATGAAACAAAATCTTTGAAGTTTTGGACATATACAAAACATTCATATAATATTAAGAGCTCTTAGGCATCAACCACTGTCAGCATCAACATGGTGTGATATTATGTTGTGGCCCAAGCCTGCACGATTTCCGAAAAGGCCTCACGACATTAAGACTATCCCATACTTTTTTTCATGACCATGGTTTTGGGCTAGATTACCAATCTCAAGAGGCGGATTCAACAACATATAAGTAGCTTACGTTTCTTTTTAGTTATCAGTATGGACTTTGTTTACGCACATACAACAATTTCCCTCATTAACTAAGTTCCAAATGATCCATTACCATTCATGGGCTAATTCGGAGCTGGTCCCTACACCATCACTACGTCATCTCCCTACTCAACTTGCAGTCATTTGGTTAAACAGCTGAAAGATACACTTAACATGTGTGATATTGTCCGCTTTAGGACAAGCATGCATAGTCTCCCCAAAGAGCCTCATACTATTAAGGGGTCGCTTGGTCGAGAACAAGTTATACCGGAATTAATCATCGTGAGTATATGAGATAACTTATCCCATCACTAAGGTCTAAATGGTCGAATAAATAATCCGAAGACTGCCTAATACCTCTAACCAAACACATGATAAAATAATCCTGCGTTTTATCCCTAAGGTTATTATACCTTATCTCTCATACTAAACGACTCCTAAGATAACCAACACTTATCATTAGTAGCTTACTGTTTATTTTCAATTACTAAAGTGGGACTTTGATCACAAATACCAACACCATTCAATCTTAATATTTGTGACTACTTAGGTAAATTTTAATCATAACGACAATTTTGGCTAGTTTGGATCTAGCAGTTCAAATACAATTCGAAATAGGTAATATAGCATACTAACCACAGCCGTGAAATCATGTAGAACAGGAGTAATCACCCATTCTCCACTTTTCTGCAACCGAAATCCAACAAAAATAGCTCAAATTACTAGCTAGGCATTTCATTAAGCATGTACTAGGCAAGATATAGACAATTACAAAAAAACACACAAAAAACTAGTAGAATATGATACATACTGAATTGGAGTTCAAGAGAGAAAGACAACGAGGACATCTAGCAGAACCGAGGCCAGGTTTGATTGTAGGATCATGATAGAGATTCCCTCTCTTCAATTTTTCTTCGTATACCTCTCGCGTTCCCATGTCAATTGAAAAAAAGAGAACCTTTCAGCTCGTGTGTAGAACTACAATATAAGATGATTTGAGATTGGCCCTGTAATGGATGTTAGACTTGAGTTTTTGAGCATTATGGCCTAAAAGTTGGAAAATAAAAAAAAAGTACTATTTACATAAACCTCATAGACCTAGTTACATTATTTTTCTAAATTATAGAGATTATAATCTTAAGAAACTAATCCGTTAGATCAAATATTCACCACAATGAATGAGCAAAGGCAAAATCAAGAGATTCCATATCTTTTTACATTCAAGATTGCCTGCAAAAGTCAAAACACAGGAATTACCAATAAAACAAAAAACTGATCCCCGAGTAACGCACAAAAAAAGAAAACTTAAATCTGTAAATTCTCTCTTTTTCACATTCAAATTTAGACACCGCATGAGTTTATTCGCAATAATCTTTGCTAATACATATAAGATATTCAAAGCCTTACCTAGCTTGATCTTCGTCTTTCTCCTCCCTTTGTTGAAAAAAGAAAAAAACACACAAAAGGTTAGTAGATTAAGCTTGAACTGTAGCAAGTGAAGTCCAACTTTATTGTAAATTGAAAATTTTCTGTTATACCGTCGTTAGGGCTATCAATTATGAATTGGGTGGCTCAACGTTTCATGGGCTGTAAATTGAATCGCCTGTTATTTTTACTTTCACTTTCAACGTATTTTATACATCTCCAAGACTCTAAACCATTTTCTGTTTTACTTTTCAAATTTATAATTTTTTTTCTTTTATGAAAATCAACTTTAATTTAATTTTTATTTTATTCTTTTTTTAATATTATATTATTATTTTTATCATAACAAAAATTATCGTTCTTTATTTTTCCCAAATAATCATTTTATATAATTTTCATGTGGTATAATATTTTATTTTTTCAAATTTATTTTTAAGATAAAATTATACTTTATTCTAAATTTCTAAATAATATAAATTGCAATCAAATATTCTATAATATACAAATTACTGCATAATTTAAATAAAAGTGAAATACAATTACTTAAACTGTACATTTCAAGATTTATGTTACTCCCAAAAATCCTCTGATAATGCATTACCGACTTTAAAATTAACATTTTTATTCTTAATTTTTTACATTTAAAAAAAATCAAATATAAGATATTTAAGTAATGATATTATACGTAAATAATATTAATCACAAACTAATAGAAATAATATTAAAATAATAAAATTACTATTCACCTTTCTAAAAATAAAGAATAAAAGACTAAAATAAAAACGGATTATAATGCCCATTCTCTATTTTTACTCTTTACATATTAAGAATGAGTAGTAAAATGTAGGTGTGGAGATCGTTGCATAAGGACAGTATGGGAAAAACAAAATTAAACGATAGTTTTTACTTGTAATTTTAAATAGGAAAATGTACACAACATCCGTTATCGTCCAGCGGTTAGGATATCTGGCTTTCACCCAGGAGACCCGGGTTCGATTCCCGGTAACGGAATCTTTTTGTATTTTCTTTGTTTATTAATTATTAGTCATATTTCATCGTAGCTTATTTATTTTTCTTATTTTACCGTTGTTTATTATCTATTTTTATCATACTTTGTCATTCATAATACATTTTTAGTTATTCATTTTCCCCTACCTTTCTTAAAGGTTTGCCCTTCAAATTGGTCATATGTGACACATAAAATGATACAAATCTATACAAACTTGATGAGAATACAACTCAATACACCACAATTGTCCTTCAAATTGGTCATACATGACAGACAAAGTGATACAATCTATCCAACCCTGATGACAATACAATAGGATAAATTATTAAATGATATAACAACCATCCAAACAAAGGTTCACAGATGTAATGATCCAACAAAATCTTAAAAGAGACAAATTATATGAAATTACAACAAAGTTTGAACATTTTGATGGTTATATTCGCCTCGACCTTTGAAAAAAGTAAGTACACTATAATAACTAAAAATTATCATTCTTTACCAGCATTGTTCAGTCATTCCAAGGTTAAAAACCATGAAGAAAGACTTCCCATTCAGTACTTGACAACTCTTCACAACTCCCTCAGGCCAACTGCCAAATTAACAACTTAAGGGGAAGTTCACACATTAGCAAACATGGTAAAATAACTGAAAGTGAAAATCCCTCCCTCAAAGGAACACAAAAGGGAGAAGACAACAAATAGCTGGAGACGGCAATCTCAAGTAAACCCGCTTGTCATATCAGGAATGGTGTATACATGTTCAACTTGTACAAAAGACGTGCAATGTTTCTATTTTCCAATTCCAAGTTCTTTTTCAATGTCTCTTGTAAGGCTAAATTGTGCAGTGTTGTGCCATGGGAACAATGTACGAGTAACGGGAAGCTTCCTCCGCAAGTCCTGCAAAAGATGAGAATTTATTTATTTGTATCCTTTTCATGGTGCAAGGTGTTTCTCCCAGCTTAGACATAGTGAGAAAACATGACTGCTGTGCGATTGTAATGAGTAATGACAAGCACTCATGCGTCTTTCATTTAAAATATTTTGATTTGAAGGCTTTGAAGTTGAAGGAGTACCTTGAAAGTGGTATCAGGCAATTTCAAGTAAGATGTCTGCCAGTAAAAACTCGATCAGTAACTTGGAACAAAAATACCGGCAATAGACTTGATAGAGAAGTGGTGGAAGAGAGGGGCAGGGAAGGGGGAAGTGTTAGGTGACATGATAGAAAGAGGGATTGAATGTGATGCAGGAACAACGTAAAAACCTGAAGAGAAGCCAGATACTCAGTCTCATGGTGGCGAATAATGTTGACCAGGGAAAATGCAGAATCATCTGGGGACTAAGAAAGACACCACAAAATCAGATAAATTCAAACTTGAACCATTGAAAGTATAAACAAAATCACAAGATAGGCTTGATCAAACTATTATTTCATCGAGTTAATAAGATTGTTCAAGAAAAAACTTCTCCTTTAGCTTGACCTTCAAATTTTACACTAGTTAAGCAAATAGGATTTCCAGAAACAGTTGTCTCACTTTTTATTCTTTCTGGCTGTCTTACCATACTACTTCTTTTCTTCTATTCGATTACTAATTAGATCACTCAAGATTATTTTTTAAATTTTGTTTAGCTTTAACCTTTTCCAACAATAGACCAGCAAAATATAGGATATCCAGAAACTGTTGTATCTCACCACTTATTTTCTTAACATGCTACTTCTATTTCTTCTACAATATAATTTCCAATCAGATTGCTTAAGATACAGAGTGTTAATATTAATATGACCTTCAGTCTCTACACAGATACACAAAGTAGGATGTGCAGAAGCAGCTATATCATTTTTCATTGTCTTGGTTGTTTAACCACCTTAGTGCCCTTTTACTCTCACTGAAAGTATAAATTACGGACAAATCGTGTTAAATGAAAGAAAATTATGAAAAAGCTATCATAGACGGAAGTCTGTTCTACTGCTAGAGTTGGATAGTAATGCTTATAATTTTGCTCCAGGCATCGTAATCTGAAAACAATACATACCATGAAGTTGAGAACTAACAGACTTCTTATTGAAAACAAGTACCAACAACCAGTCTCACACTGCAAAGGGGAGGTGAAAAATAGCTAAACTTAAGAGCGCCCTTAAATTTCTTTTGAGAAAATTTATCATGATTTATCGCCAAAAGAGTTTAAACACTTATTGCTTTCTCCGAGTACCTTCACAAGGCATCAATCTACTATGTGCTGTTTTGAAGCGTTAACACTAAGCACTGGTTAAGAAACAGCACAATCTATAGCAGAGAACAGCTGCTATACTCTTATGAGTTAAGACCAGGAGACACGGCAACAAAGCAAAAGAAGTTTATGAACAGAACTATAGTCACTTACCTGAATTAGCGTTGTATCCTTACATTCGTGTTTTGCATCTAGCTGTACATTTCCCTCTTCAAAGTAATGTGCGCCAACCTGAATACAGAGCAGGTAAAGCATATACAAGTTTGAATAATTAAGCTTTTGATACAACAACAAAGCGACAACTACCCTCACCCCTAAACTAGAAGGTCGGCTCAATCCAAAAAGAATAATTCAGTAGAGTCTACATTCATGACTTAAGTCAGTGAAGAAACCAGAAAACTGTGAAAGGGTTAAAATAAAGATCAGGAAACCAAAAGGCAAACACTATATGCTCATACTGTTGATGAAAGCATACCTGCATCTCGCCTCTCACTTCTACAGATTGAATTTCATCCTTAAATTCAATATTCCATATTGATCGCCAGCTTCCATTGCTACAGATGATGCATATAGTATCAGGTTCTTTAGATAAAGCTATAAGAAGTATCAGTTGACCCAATTGACGAGTCAGACGTGCTATAACAAGATATCACTTGAAGCAAGTGACAAGTGTGAAGCCAATAGGAAAAATAGGCAATAGAATCCCTCATTCTTTGTTTATATATAGCAACCTATTACCTCAGTATCTGTTTACAAGTTCTGCACCACGATAAGTATAACTATTTAGGAATTATGAGGGGAGTGTTGCACAAATTAGTCAGAGTTAGAATTTTAATAATCTAACACACCAGAAATTCTGAGGACTATGCCTAGCAGCTGAAATCACCACAACAAGTTCAAAGTCGAATCCTGGCTCTTCCACATCCTTTCCCTTCGTACAGTAAACTGAACTGATGCCTTTTGGATATGTTTCACTCACATACTTCATAATTTCAGCATCCATGGCAGACCTACACAAGAATTACCATGATTAGGAGAATTTGGCAAGTAGTGGTAATCACAAAGTCAGTACTCATAAACAAAGCCTCTAATGAGAAGAATTAATAACCAAGTTAAGAAGGGAACTACTCACATAAAACAAAAACATGATTTTTATAATCTGCATGTCAAGCATTAGGAACTATTGAATAATTCACTTCACTCTCAGAATATAATCCTTTAATACTCTTAATGCCTCCCAATAATACCAAATTTAGGTGTCTTACTACCATTTTAGTGTTTGACATTCATGTCGTTACCCATTAATTTGGAGACACCTGTTCCTCACCAATAAAGATGAACAAAAAGGTAAACCAGTGTATTATGAATCAGATTTCTTGATGGAATAAACACACACATGAATCATGATGTAGGATAACACCTGAGGACTAAGGTGAAGATTACTAAGAGTATCTCCAAAGATAAGGCATAGAATGTAATATAGAAGGACAGAGAAGAAATGATACTGATTAAGAAGAAGAGCATCTATAGATGAGAGATTAGCCTAAACTATTTATTTTCAGACTGATTTCGGTAAGCGCAGACCAAAACATGCAGTTTTTTTTTCTTTCAATTAAGCCGGAAAGAAAATTTCCACAAGAAATGCAACTGTTCTAGCATATTTTAAACTATAATCTGAGTGCCGTCTGAGAACTGAGGTTGAATTTGCAAGTCTTGTTGAGCATGGTTAAAAAATAAGCCCAATTAGGCAAAATAATTGAAAATGTCATAATATAGAAAAACTTCAACATCTCAATGGAAAAAAAAGAATATGAGTAACTAAAAAGGGAATCACTACCAAAGATATTAAACTGAGAAATATATCTCATACCCTACAGATGCTTACCTATATTCTTCCACGAAAGCAGATGGAAGTTCTTCATCTCTTGCTGGCCTAACATCTTTACAAACCTAGAATGCAGACATACCATGAGCTTACAAGAAGGGAGCATTTACACGGCAACAATAACTTGGAAAAAAAGAGAGAGAAGGGAAATACATTTAATTTCACAGCCCTTGAATTATGAATAAACCCATGCACTTATTATATTAAGCAGAGACTTATTTCACTTTTTCAATCTATTTACATCTACTTCATCACATTAACATTTAACAAGAATAGAAAAGAAATGCATATTATGTGACATTCAGCATAATAGACTAATGAGGATTAATTTAAAACCATGGACCAGCTATGGTAGAAGAGACTTATTTTACTTTTCCAAAATTGGTATTCACTCCATCACCATTAACAAGAACAGAAAATGCATCTTATGTGAAGTTCATAACTATTGAATAATGACGATAATCAAGTGCTTGCTATATCAAAGCTCATTTTTCAGGTTTACAATATCTTCATTCTTGATATCCATTTCTATCATGAAAACCAACCTAACAGTTAACACAATTCACCCTGGTGTTTTGTTCTTTATCCCTAATGCCTGAATGTGTTTAACAAATCAAGTTCCAATCAGCCAGAAGATGTCTAAACATACTAAACTAAGGATAAACAACATGAACATAAAACCAGTTTATGTCGAGATTTTTAATTGCACAGCATAAAAAGGAGTAAACCCAGCACTATATGTATGCTTCTCTTTCTTCTTTTCTTACTTCGTCCTGATCTTTTTACTTTTCTTTTCCTTTCTTTCAGAATAAGCACATTCTTGGATATAGTCCCACCATCTCTACCAGGTAGTTTATGTCTGTCCATATTATTGCTTTTTTGAATTACCTTCGAAACAAAATACTCATCCTTACAAACCTGCTTCCGCTTCTATGGATCCCAGCAGGAAAAAGATAAGTTTTTCATCGTCACTTTAGATTATCGTTTATTAAGTTCTGTCGGCTCAACTGATAGGAAAAGTGAAATGGACTTTTTCAATTATAAAAAAAGATAATAGAAGTTATTAAATGATTCCCTTCAAGATTATGAGCTTTTTAACTTACATATCATGCAACTATTGGGGAAATTAAGACTGGGGATTTAATGATAAATTCCAGCACCATTTTTGGTGCTTTTGTGTTTTTGCAAGGTAGTTTTTTATTGGCACATGGAAGGAGGTGCCTCATCCAATGAAATTATTAATCTTATCAACAAGAAGACAGTCAAAACACCAACCTGTAAAAAATCCAAAAATAGCATTTAGCATTGTATACTAACTGAACAACGTACTTGCTTGACATGGTCAACTCTGGCAACCTGGGCAGTTCGGGGATCAAGATACTCATCCTTATCAACCTCACTGAAGGATGTAATCAGTACCTACAAATTAGTGAGCAGCAACTTTACATAGCTAGATCATGAAAATAGCTTCCAAGTGACCATTACTACGTAAATGAAAAGCATTATACTTTCTTTTTAGAAGAGGGGATCAAAATCTTAGACTTCATAAAGAACAGTTCTCTGGAAAGTTTTCATTTCTATATTGATGAAGTAATCATTTATTGAAGCGGTGGAAATTCCCTATACACAAGCTTTAAACAGATGTAGAGAAACTTGTCCATAAACATGGTGCTCAACAAACAAAACCCAACTCTTTCATATATAGTAGCGCCAGCATCCAAGTACCATGAAGTATATCTCCATCCTAAAAGCCTTATTTGGAGACTTATTAGATTAATCTTACATATTTTTCATGCAACTTCTTTTAAAAAAGTTTCTCAAGCATAACTTTTATCCTTTGTTTTCTTTCGGTCTTTGAGCTCTAGAGGATGCATAGAGAGGTCATGAACCTTCAATTAAGGAAAATTGCAACATCATATTGCTTCCAATTTACTTCATTTTTTAATCTTCAACTACCGAAAACTATCAAATCTGAAATTATCAACGAAGGAAAATTACCCCATCAGTACAATAGCATTGCTTACAGTTCACTTAATATTTTATTCTTCAACTACGGAAAACTATCAAATCTGAAATTATCAATTTCAATGACACTGTTATGGATCAGCCAGCCCAAGTCAGTAGGGAAATTGAGAATGGGCCTGAGACAATTAGGAAAAGCCAACGAATTAATTATCCCAACAAAAAGCTACAAGACTATATCCTAGTCTAAGGCAAGGACAAGCACGTGAGAAAAGTTGTTATACGCAGGAGGATGGCAGAGTAGTGGGCAACAAAGAGTGATAGCAACATTCTCTTAATTCTCATCTTATTTTTTCTAAGTTCTCTCACCTCTTTCTATCTTATTGTGTAGTATTTTTCATACTGCAATTGCTGCTCTTGAGAGCTGAACTACCAAATTTAACTACTGTAGTTGTTCTTTTTGAGTAATCAATTAAAGTGTTGCCACTGTTTCGTTATTTGGGTTGAAGATTGTTCCAATTGGTGCTTTCAATGCTTTGGACTCCATGGATACTTCTAAGAAATCGGATGGTGCTGTATTGTCGGACTCTTCCACGGAAGTTTCTCTTTTATCAACTCGTGTGGACAACTTGACTCAGTGCAGGATTTTACCTCCACTGTGGCTGTTCAGTCAGCTGTTGTTGATCCTGTTCATCCAAGGCAGGCGGCTGTGTGTTTATCTCGTGGATCTAACTCTTCTGGTCCGCTCACAATCCTACACAAACCAGCGGCGGTGGCACTTAGTCATTTTAATGGTCAACACGCCGAGGCGTGGTTGTTTCAAGCTGAGCGTTATTTTGAGTTTTATTCCATCCTACCGATTCATCAACTTTCATTGGCATCGTTCTATTTGGATGGTGAGGCTCTCGATTGGTATCGCTGGATGTTTTGCAACAAGCAACTCTTTGATTGGCAACATTTTGCTGAGAAGCTCCGTCTCCGATTTCGGGATACATCATTGCGCTCTCCGGAGAGCAGACTTTTGAAGCTTCTACAAACGTCCACAGTGGCGGAGTTTTGTGCTCCGTTCGAGGCTATATCTATGAAACATTCACTTGCCGGATGAGTTTTTGGTTAGGTGTTCTATTTCGGGTCTTCAGTCAGATATTCAAGATGCAGTTTCTATAAAAGAGCCCACATCTCTGGAAGAGGCCATACGTTTGGCTAATATGTATGAGCAGTAGTTGAATTACGCTAAAAGTCCAGTTTGTCCTGCTTTTCCCAGAACTCAAACCCTTTTGCCTAACCCTACAACGCCATCTCCTTTAGATCAATCTAAACCAACTGCTCCATCATCTGCCTTTCCCAAAATTCCCTTCAAGCACCTGACGGCCACCAAGATCCAGGCTAGACGAGACAAAGGGCTCTGCTACAATTGTGACGAGAAATACATTATTCGCCACAAGTGCAAGGCACTTCCTCAATTCCTTCTTTTGGAGGAGTCTTCTGAATCTTCAATCGAGTTGCCGGACTCCTTTTGTTAGGATATCCTAGCTGAAGAATTTCAATGTTTAGAGGTTCAAGCTCATTCTACTATTTCATATCATGCCTTGTCAGGGGGTACTTCTCATGCTACCCCTCGCTTTAATGGCCATGTCCGGAGTTCCCTGGTGCAAGTATTGGTTGATGGGGGAAGCACTTATAACTTTGAGCAAGCACGAGTTACCGAATTTCTGAATATGTCTGTTGAGCCTGCACCTCCTTTTAGATAGTGGTTGGCAGTGGTCAGCGTCTTCGCTGTGATGGGGTGGTACGACAAGTCCCTTTGTAGATCCAGGGGTGTGATCTTGTGCTAGACTTATATGTTCTTTCGCTACATGGGGCAGATATCGTTTTGGGGTATCTTGGTTGAGTTCGTTGGGGTCAATTCTACAAGATTACTCTCGACGTCTCTTTGAGTGCTCCCTTAAGGGACAAAAGTACAGCTGGATTGGAGGGCCTTCTGGTAAGGCTGAACCTGTGCAATTACACACGTTAGAATGACAAACTGAAACTGAGGTGTTGTCTTCTTACTTTTGCCTCCGGCTAGTTACGCGTGAGAGTCCTGGTCCGCCTCCTTATCCTCCTGATATGGACTCCTTTTGGCTTCATATGAAGATGTGTTTTGCAAACCACAAGGTTTACCTCCAGCACGCGAGCTAGATCATGCTATCCATCTCAATCCAAGATCAGGACAAGCACGTGATAAAAGTTGTTCTATGCAGGAGGATGGCAGAGTAGTGGGAAACAAAGAATGATAGCAACATTCTCTTAATTCTCATCTTATTTCTTCTAAGTTCTCTCACCTCTTTCCATCTTATTGTTTAGTATTTTTTATACTGCAATTTCTGCTCTTTGAGAGCTGAACTACCAAATTTCACTACTGTAATTGTTCTTTTTGAGTAATCAATTTAAGTGTTGCCACTGTTTCGTTATTTGGGTTGAAGATTGTTCCAGACACGATTAGTCTAAATTACATTTTCAAAGATCTAAGTTACCTAATGAAAAAAGAAAACAAGAGTGAGACTTACATCGCCACTTCTGTTTGGGAATTCGAGACAAATCAAGTGAGATTTGTTGTACGAAGGAAATGACTCCTCGGCCGCTTTCTTATATATATTTTCGTCCTTTAAAATGGCTCTAACATCTGCAAATCAATCCGAATGACGCTCATAACCAAAAATGGAAACAATAAAAAGCCGATCGCAAACGAACACCAATGCGGTCACAATTTCAAGCACGAAAAAACCTTCAAATTACAAAAAAAATAACGCAGAAAAGAAACGAAAGAGAAGAAGAAGACCTTTGGCGACGTACTGAATTTCGCCGGCGGGGGCATTAAGAAGGAACCATTTGGCAATCTCAATTTTCTGGTCATCGGTAAGTTGAGTTTCTGATTCCAGAAAATCTTCGTCTTCTTCTAACATTTTTATCTTATTAACAGATATTCTTCTCCATTGAATTCAATTCAATTCAAATTCGAAGAAGATACCATAACCCCACCAGAGTCGCTTTCCCCTCTCTTTTGTTAAATCAGTCGAGTTTCCAGTTTTTTAATTTTCCACTTCTGTCCCTGCTGCGGGTCTTACTTGAGTTTGATTGAACCGTCAGATGCACGTTATGTTGTTCTTTCAGGTAAGCTTAACCGTTCGATTAAGTCTTTTTTTTTCCCTTCCCAAATATGTTCTCTTGCAACTCGATCCCTCATTGATTGATTAAACTTTTTTCTGATACATTGTAATCTATTCTAATATATTGTTAAGATTTGATAATCGAGTATAAATTATATTTTGATTTGTAATTACACAAAATGAGATTTGGAAAAAGTAAAATGTACACAGATTATGTCTCTAATGACATAAAGTTTAATTTTAAAAGGACTTGTCATTAGCAATATATATATGTATGCGCGTGCACAATATATATGTATGCGCGCGTGTGCGCGAGAATTCCTGGATCCTACATGGGTCACCTCTACGAGGAGGACCTTCAGCTCAAGTACAATATACCAAAATAAGTATGAAAAATGAAAAAACAACGGTGAGAAAATAAAGCAACGGGTAAGTAATCAATTGCAACCATAAAATAATGTGATAACCTAGACATAGACATGACCAACAACAAGTAATGATGAAATCAAAAGGTTACATTATAAGAATACAAGTAAACCCCTCTAGAATCAAAACAACACTTCATACCGAATAACAACTATCCTAATCAAGACAAGAATCATTATTGTACCTTCTGTGGTGATGGGTGACCTGACCCCATAGGACCCCAAAGTGGGTAGAAACTCACAAACTTAAGCAAAAGGACCAAATGAAGAGAAAAATCAAGGGCCAACATGACAGAACAAAATATGCAAAACCTTCTTGGAAATGGGATGGGCTAGCCAAGGGACCATAAACCATAGCATAACTTGATACACTAGTATTAAATTTATTCTTCTAGTATGTTTTAACGAGTTATAGTGGCATTAAATATAAACCAGTAAAACTCTACAATTGAAGTAAAAATCTGACTCTCATACAAGGGCATCCAACAGTTGTTCCAAGCCTCCAATGGAGCTATCATTCTCAAAATTTTCTTTTACCCTACTATTAGCAACTAAACATCTAGCAGAGAATAGCATCAATTCAGTTGAACCCATGTAATCTCTGATCCTCGATACAATTCCACTATCCCTGGAAAAGCCCAACCGGAAGTATCTATCCTGACTATTTTCTTCCATCTGCTTCTCAACTAATGGCTGTTCAGTACTAGGTTCTTGACTTGGAGGAGAGGCATGATCCTCCCCAAAGCTCATGTAATTGTCCATGCCTAGAGCTTCCCAGTCAACATGCTGCACAATCCCAGCAGCTTGTTCAGCAACATAATCATGGCAGTGTTGAAATTTTAGTGCTTCCTGGACAGCTAGTCTCTCCACCTGGGCCTTGAGCATATGTAATCGATCACCAATTCTTGTTGAAACAGCATCATATAATTTTCCTCTTGGAATGTTATCCTTTTCGCCAGCAGCAAGCAAGTCATCAAACTTGATGGGATCACCAACAAGAACAGTCACCTGCAGTTTTTACAGCTCATTAAGAGTATACCAAGAGCAATCACAATTGATTCTCTTTAATTCCCTTTCTCTATACCTAATAATATTGGTGCATGATACATGCCGCTGCATTATTCACCATCCTCAAAATGAGAATTACATACCGTCTTTCCAATCCTGGGAAGCTTGGCTCCTACAGGCATGATGTATTGCATTCCAGTATGCACAAAAGGGATGACTATTGGCAAATTGTCGGCATCCAGGATCAATCTATTAAGACAACCAAAAGTCTCAGACATAACACCAACCCTTGTAAAGACAACAGAATCTAATTAAATAAAAGGAGGGAAGGACGGAGAGGAGGGGATCCTTTTTATTTTATAGCAGAGTAAAAAACGAACAGGTACCCAACAGAAATACGACTGAATCAATCTGCCCATGATATCTACAGAACTCCAACAATACCTTGTCTCTGGTTCTTGTTCTTTCCAAATAACATGAAATTACAAATCCAACAAACTGGTGTCCTTTTTGACAATCATGGAATTCACAAGTTACCTACTCAAGGATAATCAGACAATTCACAATTTATTACTTAGAAAGAATGAGTACCTTCCGATGCCTCTTTTAATAGAACCCATTGTTTTGCCACCATCTCGAGAGCGACTACCTTCTGGAAATATGTGCACCCATCCACCACGGTTCAATTTTGAAATAGCCATGTCCATCCCCTGCAGAACATGCAGAAATAGACTGAGAATTAGCTATAAACTATATCAGTCTCTTTCAACATCATCCATCACAGTGATGTAGAAACAATCAGAATATCAATAACTTAATCTCACCAGCACCTCAGAAAGAAAATACCTTCTGATAAATACCGTCCCCACGGGACACAGGAAGAACTTTGACATGTTTGAAGAAGGCAGATGTGACAGGATTGCGGAAACATCGATCAGTTGCACAAAGTGTCCATCTCAAATTTTGTGCATCCAAAATAACACTGGGAGGAAGTAATGCAGCAATAACTAGTGGGTCATCCATAGCAGCAACATGATTGCTCACCTGAGTTGATTTACAAAACAGAACCAGATATCAAAAGATGAACTCCAGGGGTCTAAGGTGAGGCCTAAAAGAAGGAACTGGAGATAACTGAGGAACATGGCTTACTGTAATAAGTGGTTTATTCTCCATTCGATTTTCCAGCACCTGATGTAATTTTTCTGCACCATATATCTGCAAAAGTTGTCGAGTTATTATTCTCAACTAGGGAACAGCTGAAATAGTAACTCACCCAGATTTAGCTTACCTGAACACGATTGAGGCCATGCATAAACACATGACAAACATTTCCAAGCACAGGAACAGCCACAGCCTGCAGCATGCGAGTCAGGACTGAATCTGCTTCTGGATCAATATCCTTGCTAACTGCAGTCATAGGCATACAGATTTATAAGTATCAACCATGAAAAGCATCTTGAAGAATCCTCATATAGCTTTTACTGCACAATTTACAGTTATAAGCAATGTTATTAGACACAATTCCTTAATTGCTTAAAGTGAGGGGAGGCAACACAATGATGGTGCACTTTAAGCAGGCATTTGGGCAGTATTTGAATTGAAGTTGAAATTATGTTCGGGTATGACTTCACTTGAAATAAAAGTCCATTTCACAAATACACCTTCAACCAATATTTCAATATTTCACTTGAAGTTCAAAAAATGAAGCTTAGTGTTAAAAACTACTGAAATAGTATTACATGGCCAAGCCCAGATGTCATACCAAAGAAACTTCATCAATGCGATCACTTCATACTCTTAACCGAAGTTACTTTTTTTCTTTTTGTGTTTTTGAATATCTAAAAGTTAGCAAATACAAGTGAGTAATAGTTTGCTGGAAATAACCTTCCAAGTCATGAAGGGAGCAATGGAAATTGAAACGCGGGATTTAACATATCAAGAATTCCCTAGGCAGACAAATGTAGGTAATAGGAGTAATTTTAGCAGCTAATTTCAGTAATTTTCATCATGAAATCACATACAATTTGTGAAGAAAACCTTCTTGAATTCTCGAATAAACTAACTACAGTGACTTTCTTTCTTGAAGAAAACATTATTGAATAAACTAACTACAGTCACTTTCTTGAATAGTTTGTTGAAGAAAACATTATTGAATAAACTAACAACCTCTCACTTTCTTGAATTCTTAGTCTAACCATGTTGCAAACTCTACCTAGCGTTTCCTGCGTTTAGATTTTCGATGTACCAAACTAGATGCAATATTGCAACAGCGAGGAAAAGGAAACTGACCTTTCTTACGGTAGAAAGTGGAAGAAGAAGGCAGCGTATCTCTACGGAAATCGCTGAACCGTTGGATCCAGCGTTCGACGGTAGATGATAAGTAACCATCATAGATCTTCGGACGGCGACGATGATGATCGACGGCGACTCTAAGACGGTCTCTAAGACGAAGCTGCAGCGATCGTGCCCTATCTTTCCATAGATCCGCTCCAGTTTCTATCCACCTCCCTGAAACCATTCTCAATTAATTCTTGCAATGGTTATACATATTGTGGTGAAGATTATCGTAAGCGAAGCGCGAGAATAGTGAGAGGAGAAAAAAAGCTCAAGGGTTTCGATTTTTTTTTTTCCTATATGACTTATTATAGTGGGCAAGTCGTGTCCTAAATAGATAAAGTTATGAGTTTCTTAAATATTTTTTGTGGGCCCCGATATCTACGTGGAGATGCACTGCTTTATTTATTTTTTTCGGCCTACTTTTTATTAGAAAGAGATATCTATGGAAAAAAATGTTTTTAAATTTACTAACATGTGAAATAAAGAAAGATGTCTCATACAACTGCATCGATTGTATGACATCGTGAACCTGAAATAAGAAAAAAATTGTTTCGATGTTCAGTCAAGCACTAACAAAATTTCATTCTAGAATAATCGTTTAAATTTATTTACTTATTGTTATTGAATGACAATTAGTTTACTTGATAAAGAAAAAAAAATTAATTCATTCATTCGACATTCTAGACATTAAAAACTATTTAATTTAATAAGTTTTTTAATTTTTCACTTATATATTTCAATTAAATTTTAGTATACTTTTCACTTTCAGGATTTATAAAAAAATTGAATCAGAGAAAACTCATATCGGCACCAGCCCAAAAAAAACCTATGAATCACTCCTTTTCTTTGGTCGTAAAAAATGTCCAAGTACCAGTTTTTAAAATCTTCAAGAGTTCTTGGGTTTAAGTTAACGATCTCATTTGCTTAAAATTTAAGAAGTCTTCTTCTTCCTTTACTTACAGTACCGTAAGGCCTAAATTAGTTCACAATAGCTAAGAGACAACGTATAGACTATAGAATTATGAACCCTTTCGAGTAATGACGTCTTTGAGATACAAAATACGATCACAAAAGCAGATACATAGAAGTTCATAAGCAACCTCAAATTAATAACTGAGTTTACAATAAAATTTAAATGTTTAATGGATTTCTTATCATATAAACGTGGAATAAACAAAAGCTATTGGGTTTCTATGAACCCACAAATCCTACACTGCAATCCCACAGTTCAGTCATTGTTTCATTGTCCAAGCTTCACAGTATAATCCAGAGAGGATATTTGTCATAAGGATTTCCCCTCACAAACTAAATGACTAAAGGCTCGCGATTCCAATAGTAATATCTCCGTAAAACAAATCCTTTACTAAACAACCATCCACTTGAATGCGCTAGATTCAAAGATTTATTTCGATTCGGCCAGAGAAATTACATGACAATGACAAAGCAATATTTATAGAGTATATGGATACTCACTTCGTGAAACTGCAAATTGACAGTCAAACCTTTCCAAAGAAGTCAGCAAATGAAAATTTGAAACTTAGGAGGTTCACCTCCTGTGTTTAGGTAGTTAACATCAAAAGCAACGTCCCCAAAATCATCTGGCGAACAGTAAATGATTGTATCAGAAAACGTTTCCAAAGTTTTCATGATAAGGTTAACTTTGAATTGTTGTTTCAAATTTAAATAAAATTCAAACCTTCATACAGGGTCCTGGCAATTTGAACATACTCGGGTATGAGGTCCTTGTATATGACTCCAGTTGGACGTGCATCCAGGACAACTAAGACTCCTGTCCAGTTGCAGTGATTAGTTGCCAAACCCTAGCTTTTATTTTTGAAATCCAAAGTTATTTATAAACATGTAACATGGAAGTTATATTTAAAAACTAATAAAAAAGAAAGATACATTCTTTAATGTAACCTTTTTTATCTGCGAGTGATAACTGGTTCCTCTCTCTATCTCTTCCCAATTAATTCATTCCTACAGATCATCAAGATGTTCACAGTTTATCCTAATAGATTGGATTTGTCATTTTGTAGCTTGTACTAGGTACTTTTAAGTCAATTGAGCAGTGTTTTATTTGAAGCCCAAAAAAATGAAAACCTTTTTCAAAATGATACTCATTTCCCATCATTTTAACTGAACCAAAAATTTGTCTCTGCCGACCTCATCAATCTCCCTAGCCCCTCCCCTCAAGAGTACTAAACTGTCACTCACCAGAAAAAAAGGTGATTGTCATACAGCCCAATAGGCAGGGGCTTTTATCTAAGTCATTGAAGATCTCATTGATTGTCCACAAATCAACAAGTACGACTAAACTTTTACTAACATTAGAAGACTAATTGAATGAAGTGTCAACCATGTCTTTAAACAGGAAGACACTTCACTGCTGGTCCAGAGAGTTGGAAAGAACTTCTACCAACATGTCATCAAAACAACAGGAAATTAATAACGTGAATTTGTGGAAGGGATCCACAGAAAAAAGTTAGTTTAGGAGCTAAACTCAAGGATACATATTTCTTTAAGAAACCGATGACAATAACATATTCATGACAACTTATTTTTGTGTTCCATAATATCTCTCACAACTTTTAGCAATCTAGCACCTTACTGTATTAATAAAGTGACTCTATTTTCTTGAAGACAAACCATGTTCAGTTTATAATTATTTACGAAGACAAGTATTTAACAGCCAACTTGTTCCTCTGCTCTATGTGGCTTCAGAGTTGGAGAATATTGTCAATATACTGCGAAATGATACTTGAGAAACATGGACAAACATAAGGGAAAGCTAAAAAGAGACGTGGACGGTGGAACTCAACTAATAAAGATAACAACTTACCAGTGTAATCCTACAAGTGGGGTCTGGGGAGGTGGGATGTACGCAGACCTTACCCCTACCTTAGCTGTAGCAACAAGATCACCTTTCTTTAGAAATTCAACAGCATCATGTCACAATTTACAATACTTTATCCAAAGACAACTCGAAGGTATTACTATTAAAAAATAAAGCCAAAGGAAGTTCCTCACTGTGAGTTTGTTTCTCAAAGGGGAATATCAAGAGGAAATCTGAGTTGATGTGAGAAAGCTCTCATCCCAGTGATACATGCCAGAACAATGTTCACTAACAGCCCCATAAATTTCTCAAGAATCTTGGTAATTGAACTCCAAACTATAGTTGCATTTCTGCAGCTATTAACTGTAATTTGTAAGTAAGCGGATCAAATTAGCTTGGGATTGAGGCATAGTTGATGAACTCCATTAGATTCTACAAACACAATGTCCTCTTTATCCCCACCCACCCAAAGAAAAAAAAGACAAAAAGAAATAAGAAAATGCAAGTCGTAGAGATGCTTCCGCATCTTTGATATGGTCCATGCAGTAAAGTATACTGCACTGGGAAACATGTCACTTAAGTGTAATTTGAGAACCTCGAAGACACATACCTGGTGCTAACCATTCATTTGAGGAGTTGCTAGCTAATGGAGCTAGCCACAATATGTTACGCAAATTCATTGAATCGTCATAAGAAACATTAGTTCCTGAACAATAAAACCTAACATGAGTATAAAGAACATCACTATTGTCCTTCTAATGCGCTGATGGATTGAAGACTGCTGATGGTAAATAAAGTTTGAGAAAATCCAATTCTGAATTCAGTAGATCTCACAGGAAGTGGTTAAGGTGCAGATAGACCTACCTATTTGGCAGTAGCCCATGTTGCAAGGAAAAACTTCCTTATCATATGCTGGATACTCCTTAGCATGGAACCTGAAAAGTGTTTGCACCTTTTAACCTCACGAGCATCCCCCACACACACACACAAGACGACAACAAACAACTTGCATCTAAATCATAAGCAAGTTGGGATCACTATATGGATCCTCATTGATTATATCACCCATTTAAGCTTATCTTGAACCAATAAAATACAATATAAAAATTGAAAGCACAAGTTCCTATATTTCCTACTGATATACAAATCTCTGATAAGATCAACAGATTCCTAGTAAAACCTAAAGTAAATGTATTAACATGGCTAAACATATTCTTAACTAATTGGTATCGCCTATATAGATTTTTTTACTTTATTGTGGCCTTCTATTTTGCTATGTCTACATGGATTCTAAGAGATTGTAGGTCTTTCAAGACAAGTTCCTTCTATTACCATCCCCTTCTAGGATAAAGAAGTTGGGTTGCAGCAGGCTCACAACCAGTGCAAAACTAATCAATTTATGATGAACCACCACACAAAAAGAAAACGAAAAATATTAGCAGAAACAGAAATAAATATAGAAAAGAAAAAAAATAGTTTGTGAGGACAAAACAAAATTGAAGAAACATCCACATCCATCTTACGGTCGACAGAGTAGAAAGGGTATGACTGGTTGGAGGCAAGTTCAAATTAAAATGGGACAATGGGTAATATTGTATTTTGGATTACAGGATAAATGGAATTTCTTACCTTCTCTACATCTTAACAGGCTAATAAACAAGAGGATCTCCTTATCATATGTAATCAAATACAGAGTATCTTTTAAGAGCTGCCTCTGAGCAGCTAACAAACAAGAGGTCTGTATTTCGGAATTTGGATTACAGGATTAGAAGAATCTAGAATACGATCCTTGCCTGCATTTGGTGAGAGATGTGGAAGAAAAGAAACCAAAGATGTTCTTTAGAGCATACGTGAAAACACTCATACTCTGAATCATGGTTGTATCTCTTTTTTGGATTTTCAGTATAGACTAAAAAATGTCAAAACACAGTGGATGTTAACCTTCCTCAATGACATAATCTAGTGTATATGGACTTCCGATTGAGCAAAACTGGGCTGCTGAAAATAAGTGAAGTCCCTCAATCCCAAAAATTACTAAGTCTAACTCCTTAAGCAAAAGAAATTGAAGATTTGTCGTTGAACTATTGTGCATAGCAGAATAAGCATACTACAGCTTCAAGTCTTGAACAAGTAGACAATTCAAGTTGAATTAGACGCTGCATGCTTTTTGTCCTTAAGGTTCCCAACAACGGAATGTGATATATAACACAAGATAAAGATATTCAAGAAAACACAACAACTATGGTTGAGTTTACAATAACAGACAAAAATCACAGAAACCCGATCAGATTGCCTTTTATCTTTGCTTGTTGCAGAAATGTTACAATTCAACTAGATCTGTGTTTTACCATCTTCCTGCTGCTACTTAGATGGCTTGAGTTAAGGCAATAGAAATGTAACTGAATCACTTACATGAGCATCCATCACATTCTTCCAATAGGTGAACGGTTTTCTTCTCTAGTTTTCTCTTATCCTAGTTCACTTTATTATTAGCCAAAGTAAAAGAAACACTTGAAAGAAAAAATATCCGATTAGCCAAGTAATTAGACGCAAATCTGATTGTATTTGCACGGTCATTTACAACGAAGAGTTCTTAGAGCACGACTTTATGTGAACACTCGGGCAACAGAAGCACCATTTTTGTCATGTGTGCTCAATACGGTGAAGGGTTCATGTTAACTTACAAGATCCCAAGTCTTCCAGAGTCTCTGGTAAGAAAGACATGACCATGAAAGAAATCAAAGCGCGACAATGATACATTCAGCCCAACACTGGGTCCCCGAGCAACAATCATTTCAAACAAAGATTCGAGGTATGAATTTATCTCCTACAAAACAACATTTGAACTCAACATTAACCGGCAACAGAAATTCTTATTTCAAGAGGAATTAGAAGTTCCATTTTAATGCTGACCTCATTAATAAACAGTCTTCCATAAGGAGTTCTGGTAAGTTCACATCGGTCTTCCTTTGATCCTTCAATGTCAGGAACCTGCACATTGAAGAGGATGCACTTACTGTAAAAAATCTCTGAGAAAGACAATTGAAAGAGGAAGCATTTCAATAAATTGCTAGTGACTTAAGAGACCCTATTAGTAAGGGCCATCAATAAAGTTTTTAGATGGCGCTAAAACTATCTCTTTTTTTCCCGCTGAAATTAGTTCCTTTACACAAGTTATAGGTAAGGTACTTCGATATAGCATTTAACAATATTGTACAAAGGGTGTGCCAATAAAATTTCCAGCCATGTTAGTATGTGATTAATGATCAGCACTATTTTTCGTGCAGCCACCCGAGGCATTACAAAAAGGCAAAAATGTACATATCTTTGTGCATTTATCATTTATCTGTATAGATACTTTGACACAAATGCTTTCACGACAAAGAGGATAAAAACAAGAACTATTTGTTGTTAATTCTTAATAGAATTATAACAGGTATGTAGCCCTCAATTAGTGTTGCCAGAGGCAAATAATGCCACCCCTGCCCTGCTAAATTTTAATTCCTTACCCTGCCGAATTGCCATCCCTATATCCACTTTTTGAATTTTTGCAGTTATCCATTGTCTTCCTCTGAATCAAATTTTCAAGAAGTCTCACTTCTCAGTTATCTGTTTAGTATTTATTAAGTTTTGCCATAACACTTGGCACTTTTACAACCTGTTTATTTACTATACCAACACTTTTCAAGACAGTTCAGCTTTGTGAAATGAAATTTTACACATTGGTTACAATCAATTTGAAACAAGAACGAGATGACCACGTGCTTAGTTTAATATATCAGATTACTTTTCCTTGTTCTATTTTTATGTTGTTACTACTATTGAAAAAAAAATTGAACTATTAGCTTCAAAGAGCAATTTTACAGGTTCCCCAATATCTTCATCAGATCAGATGCCAATAATAGATTATCCTCAAGGAAATTTTGATCACAAAATAATTGGCTTTGCTTTTGCAATGATATGTATGAACAAATGTCTTATCTGATTTATATATAATTACAAGGCAAAAACTTATCTCCTCCCTGTGTTTATAGCAAGCCAATTCGTACAGAAAATACTGTTGAAACAGATAGATATGAAAACTCACAGGGATGACTGTTGGATCAAGAGTCCTTTGAACAGACGCAGTATCACCACCAGAATCAACAGCGATCCGAGCAAGCTCCATTACCGGCGCCGGCGGCCACCAAATAAGCTCATTCTGTTGGTTTATACTCCTTCGATGATCACTCAACGAGCGTCTATTCGGAGTGGGAGAAAAAGGAACTAGGAATTTGAAGCAAGAACGTAGCTGACGCGCCTCTTGAGAGTTAACAGCTAAGGCTTGTTGAGGTGGGCCCAACAGAGCGAGCAAATCGGCGACTGAGGCCTTGGGTACGGACGGTGAGGCACGTAGTTTGATCTTACGGAAGGAGTAGAATGTTGGGGTTGAAGTGACAGTGTAGGAAGCGGCAAGAGAAAGGGAGAAGAAGAAGGCGAATTTGAAAGAGAAGAATGGCCGGCTCATCTTTTCTCCCTTCTGAAAATTTGGGTCATCTTACTAAATTCCATATGCGACCTCCTGTAACCAAATGTGTTGACTACTCAAATATATAGAGATTTTGATGATTGCTCCCCCATTTATTTTTATTTTGTCATTGTTTAACTTCATTATTTTACTAAATTATCCCTTTATTCCTCCTTTTTACTCATCATTTTTCACTAATCAAATTTCTTTAATCTATCATTTCTAATTTATTTAAAAAATTAATATTTTTAAAAAAGTTAGAATTTGAAATTATATCAATTAATAGAAATAAAATAATAAATATATTATTTCAGTTACTATTTTTTTAATAGGTGTATCAATTCAAAAAAGGAAAAATAAATAGGCACAAAAGGGAGTGTTAGATCTTAAAAAATATTTGGAGAATAAATATTTAAACATGAGGATAAAAAATGTTTTTTCTTGATTTTCAAAAAGTGACAAGTTAAAATGAGCACTGAATTAAAATAAAAGAGGACAGAACACTGCAAAATTCATTGCAAATTATCAGTTTAATTTTTTAATTATTGATCACTTTAAAAAAAACTTTTTTACTTGATTAACTAAAGTTAAACACACCGTGATCTTGCAACATAAATTAAAATATACTGCTAAATTCTCACTAAACTAAAGGTGTTTTCAACACTATTCTCGCTTTTTTATTAAGAATTTCATACTCCTACAACGAATTGATATCACTTACTATCCTCAAGTAAACCTCAAAAACTCCTTATAAACAAAAACGTTTTCCTGGGTTTGAAAAAATTTAAGAAAAACAATAATACTTCAGAATTTAAGAATTTAACTTACAGAACGTGTTAGGAGGATTTTAAGATAATAACTATTATCAAAGTATGCCCAAAAGTATGACATCCTAATATTCCAATTTCCCTTTTCTACGCAGATTTACCCAAATTACCCTTGTTAACTGATGAAGCTCTAGGACTTGAAGGGTCAGTGTTACTTAATCAAACAGAAATTAAATTCATTTTTTACTTTATCTTTTCACCAAGGTACTACTGATAATACTGAAGACTTGATTAAAACTTCTAACGCATATTTATTGGTTTTTTAAAAAAATACTCGCAACAAATATCAATTAAAATTATAATAATCAAGACTTAAATAAGAAACTATCTAATTAACGAGCAGTGTTGATTTATTTGTTGACTTGTATTTAACACCTTGTTTGGATGGTTTTAACTGATTAAAATATATTATTATCTTGAATATAGTGTTCATTTTACTTGTATTTAAATTTAGTATATATACAGTACCTTAATATTTTCTTCTACTTTTGTCTTCATCATTATCAAATATTTTTGTTGTCTTTCATCCATCTTTTTCACCGTAGCTCTACTTCATATCCTACTTTACTTGTAGAAATACAATAACATACAATACATCATAAAACAATACCTAACAACCGTCTGAACAAAGTATAGTTCTCTATAATTTAGGGCATATCGTGACTGGTTTGATGACTCAAGTTATCGCCACGAATTTCTCACGAGATGACCTTTTCCAATTATTCAAGGAAAAATAGGATATAGAAACGTGGGTAAATTCATAATCTAGAGAGAGAAAAAATTTGCCCATGAGCTGATAATTGTTCGACTCACTCACAAATTCAGAAACCAACAACAATTTGTGTACAATGCTTTTAATACAAAGCGAAAATCCTATTCTTGGTTACTATGTAGTAAGTATCTCATCATGATACTTGTATAATCTTGGAGAGCTACAGCGAGTGCGTACATTTCAAGACTTGCACAAACCAGAATTTTCTCTCATTTGGTAACACTCTTTACTAGTGAAATGAAAGAGTTTCAGTCCCCTTGATAGTTGAAATGCTTCCGTCAATATTCCCTGTCCACAGAATAGCTAAAAGATCTTAGCATAGATCATGAAGTCTAAAACAACTTGACAACATAGCTGCTTCTCCAAAATATATTCACTACTGAACACAGCGTTGTATGATACCTAACAAACCAAGAAACCGTATAAACATGACTTAGTTAACACTAGAAATGCAAAAAACTAAAGGATTCAATAAACCCTCATGAAAAAGTAAAACGGGATGGAAAAATAACATTCTCGTTAACCATTTTTAAATGGTGTGGTGTCTAGTTGTGCACACCTCGAATATTCGACAAGCACAGGCACCGGTGACTTTACTCAACAAGGCTTAGGCAGAAGGAAACAAATCACCTTTATGAGTGTCAATGTCGAATTGTAAAGAAAGCAACAGAAAAAAAAATGTATATTTGAATTGGTCTATTAACAATGTGCAAGTGAAGCTCCATTTATAGGAATTTGGGGTAACGAACAACATAGAATGTCACAATCTTTATTTCTCTAATATGGCATGTAATTATTTGATACTTAAACATAGAACATTTATCATATGTTTATTTAAATTCAATATATCTGAAGGTACATAATTTTTGTCATGAAATTCAGAACACTTTCAAACTCAAAGTAGAGAAAACAACTTGAGTTTGCTTGTTTGAAAACCTAACAGATTGCCACCAAAATTCATCAGGATAATGCAGAATCATCAAAAGGGAAAGACAAGATAGAATTCTTCTTCTAATGGAGTCTTCAGTCATTTACAATTTGCACAAATAGGAAGTGATTCTTGTAATAACATGGAAATCAAAAAAGAAATCAGTCACTAGAAAGAGGTATGGTTTGCGAAATTTCTACGCTAACATAATTTGAATAGGTGAAACAGTGACAAGAAAATACAAAGTCAAGAGGAGGGCTATACAGTCGTTGGAAAGATGAGCAGGTGCTAATACTAAATAGCAGAGGAGGAAGGCAGCCAAGAAGAAACAGTGCCGAACACCAAAAAGAAGAAAAGAAAAGAAAATCAAAGCCTGGTATGCTGAATAAGAGTCTACTTAGGTCGTAGAGGCTCTTATACCATATGAGAAAAGATTAGTAAAACATCCATTGAAGAGATAAACGGTGCCAGTAGCTAAGAGAGTAAGGTCCACTGCCAAAAAGAGGCAGTGCTAAATTCTGAAAAGTTGAAAAGAAGAAAGAGAAGACGAAATTACGGCCAGGCACCTGCTCACCAAATTGCTTAAGTTTTTACTGAGATCATACAGCCTCTGATGCTACATGAAGCAAAATCAATCATGGATTAACTCAATCCAAAATCTATCAAGAGGTGAAAATTGCCTAAAACCACAAAGAGACTATAGTTTTTGTCCCAAGACTGGACATTTGATTGTGGATAGCAAAAACATAAGGGCCCAAACATCGTGAGAAAGCACTATTCGCAGATCTTAGTTTATATATAAACCTAATTTTAGTTTTTGTTTTGTGTGCTATACTAACCCATACCTACTGAAAAGACAAATATGAGAAGAAGAGAATACCATCGGATTATATATTGAAAGGACCTAAAAAGCATCAGCAACTTTGATGCCTGCCCTATTGTCCCACACCTCTGGTGCATCAACACTTGCAATAATCTGCTCCTGCTCCTGGCCACGCCAAAGAATCTGAAACCCAACAACTGGTGTTAGTCAGAAAAGCCACCTGATAAATCTTTAGCACCTCCAGCAACTTCAGAAGACATTTAAGACATGACACAGTTGGCATAATAATGAAAGTTGTTTACCTTATCAATAACGCCAAATTCTCTAGCTTTGATAGAATCCATGTAATATGGTCTTCTCATAACATTGGAAACAGTCTCTTCCGACTGGTAAGATACGACAGCAAATGTCATTATACCTTCTGTTTGATTTACAAATGGACAACACGCAAGAAATGTTCACTACTTACATTTTCAGTATGTTTAGCCAAAAGCTTGACAAGGTTGTCTCTGTTAACGAGTACCTGCAAAAGAGAATAATCAGCTGATCCATCCCCATAGAATATATTCAGGTTCACAAAGGAAGAGCTGATGCTAAGTAAGACAGCTTGCAATTAGCTCATCCAGAGGTAGTTCCGTTTTAGATGGATTTATTTTGAGAAAGTACTCGCCATCCTTTGGGTACACTGAACATGATATGGAGTTCTGAATAAGCCATAACTGACTAAAATACCCTTAACTAACTAGCATGTAATTTACTTTGTAACAGTTTTAAGGTCACACACTTAACAATCAATTGTATGTTCTTTATGTTTACAACACGCAAATCACAAACTTTGCATGTATTCATAAGTGTTTGTGCACACACATCTACAAAAGATATACACATGCAAGAAGTGATGGAGCCAGAAATTCATTAAAGGAATTAGAAAAATACTAGAGTGCCACACTTAGGATTTGACTGATGATTAAAAGCAACTCTCTCTGCTACTATATTTCAACCTTCCCTTCTAATTAAAAGGGACTCAACAATTCATATATAACCAAAAAAAAATTGTTTCTGCCCTATGTTTTGCGGTACAATTTTTCGGCGAAGGGGATTAAATTGAACCCCCCTGCCTCCCTTTAACTCAGAATCAGCATGCAAGAAAAAACACCATATGTAAATTGCTAAGATAACGGAACACTTTATAACAGTCAAAACCTTACTCAACAAACAATAGGGCAACATGTTAAGACCACGAAAGTTTCAACATCTATTGATATCATGAACTCTCTTTCAGGACCCATTGACTAGAAATGTATATCTACTGATCAACACAGAGAAATTTGAAGTTCTTGATGTAAGAACTTTTATCAACTTGAAAAAAATTAAATTGGCACAATGACGTTAAATCTTAGGTCCAGTTACTCACAGTTACAGCTACTCGCAGTCACACCTCCAATCTGGCCTAGGAAACTAAACAGACCTCGCCTCCTCAAAACTTAAAGGTGTCAACTAAGATATTTACTAAAAGACCCTCATTTCTATTATGTTTTGATGAGAATTTTTAATTAAAACTTGAGAAAAAAAAACAAAGCCGAAATAATTTTTTAAACATAAGGTAACCTTATCCAACGGAATCAGCAGGTAGACCAATCGGTCAAGGATTGAGCTAACCCAGTCAAACAAAACCTCAAATGGCCTGGAAGCAAATCTGGAGAGTCAAAGTGCCACAAAAGACTAGCCAATGAAGCAGTTCTGACATTGGACAATGTGGCCAAGAGAGGTATATCTCTATGCAACAGATGCTCTACACAGAGACAGTAAAACACCTCTTTCTACACTGCAATTTTACTGACCGTGGCAGATTTTCCTTAATCTCAGAGGCATTTCGTGGAGTATAACTAGTAAGATTGATGAGACTCTTTTCAGTTGGGAGGAGGCTGGAGTTAAGGCTACAAACAGAGAAAGATAAAGGATGATCCCTGCTTGTATATGGTGGACTAGATAAATTAGGTCTTAGACCAAACTCACGCCCCAAAAGCTAGCTCAAAGAGAGGAGGATTGTTCATATCTTATAAGGAGTTCACCCATTGCATTAACCACCGATGTGGGACTTTTATCAATTTTTTAACACCCCACCTCACGCGCCACTCTTAGCATCTGGTGCGTGGGCAATTTTGATTTTGGGGGGCCCCAACATCAGGTGAGACAGGCCCTACTCTGATACCATGTTAAATTAAGTCTTATGCCTAACTCACACCTCAAAAGCTAGCTCAAAGAAAGGTCATCTCATTAACCACCGATGTGGGACTTTTATCATTCTTTAACAGACTACATGGAGAGCGAGAAATGATAGGTGTTTTGAAAATAGGGACAACAACCAGCGGAAGGCAAGCTTAAATGTATTATGTTGTTCTGTTTTTGGTGTAAAAATGTCTACTCCAATGAGACTGAGTCAATCATAGATGTTTTAGGGTCCATCTAGTTCCTGGTTTAGCATTGGAAAGACTTAATCTTTTCTTCTTTTTTGTAAATATGATTTTCAGGACCACCTAAGTACTGACTGAAATACAAATGTTACTAGTGTCAAAAAAACAAAACTTCATATTTTTCATAATATCTTTTAGGTAAACAAAAATGTTTATCTGATGGTGAAACTGGCAACAAATCTTCATTTTTTTTAATACGTCATAATCATTTAACCTTACAGAATGTGATGGCAAGGAGTTGTCCAACAATGATGCCTTTTTTCAGAATGAAAACGAAAAATCCCACAAACAAGATTCCATAGTTCCGTTAAATAGAAGGCGATCAGAATCTAAACAGTAAGTAAAAACAAAAGCATTGATCAAAGATTTCATCAACCATCATACCCTAAAGCTCTACTAGTCAATACCATGAAGACACACCTGTTTTGTAGATTAAATGGCAGATAACTGAACACTAACCTCCTTTGCCCGGATATAAACATCGCTGGCCTGCATTAATCCAGATGATGGTGCACGGGGCTGTTGAATCATGGCTGAAACAGAACATCACCCGGACAACATGAATCATCAAAAAGAAAAAATTGAAAATGAAAGAAAATTCATGCTGTCAAAATTGTAACTAAGAACGAGAAAACTTCACACCTTTGGCATGTGGCATCATAAACCTTTTGCCCTTAGTACCAGCTGCAAGCAATAGACATGCCTGACCTATGGCAGCACCAACTGCTACAGTGTGTATCTGCACGGGTAATTAACAACCTGAGAATCCTAACAAAATCATGAATGGAACAGTCTGATATATGCTTTCAGAGGTAAACATGAAGCTTAAATTCTACTGTACTTGCTCTGAATGCCTAGAGATTAAGGAAAACAACTAACTACAGATTATCCCAATTAAGTTTGACATGAAGACTGCAACCGACTTTGAACGAAGCCAAAACTCTTATGCAGATTCAATACAATCACACGGGAAAGAAAAGAAAACTAACTTATCTTTTAAAAAAAATCACAAGTCAAAAGTCCAATGTTGTCTTGTTCTTATTCAGTAAATTTGACTAAGAAAAAGAAGACCTAGATAAGGAAAAATCCTATATTCTCATGCAAATATTAAAATGGAACACTTTCTAGCAATAATTATTTTAGTTGGTGAGAGCTTACCTCGTTTTGAAGTTGCATCATGGAATCATAAATTGCAAAACCTTCTGCTTCCATACCAACCTACATTGATAAAATATCCAAAGATTGGATAATTTGAGCATAACATCGACCCCAACACCAAACCCCGATAAGTTCATTTGAAATTTAATAATGAATTTTGTGTTCATACGTATCAATAAAGACCCATATTTTCATCATCTAGAACCATCTAAATAACATAATAAGCTTTTCTATAACTTCAAATTTACATTAAATTATAGTCTTAGTTTAAACTTTGTAGTCTTGAACAAATTAACCCAATAATACTCCCCCTGTCTCATGTTACTTGTCCACTTCTCTCTTTACAGGCCTCCTAAGAAATCATAAATAAAAGAAGTATTTTTACTAACTCTTATTAATACATTTTATTTATGTGCCTTATCGATTAACAATGGAGGAACTTTATAATCTTATTACTTTCAAAAAGAACCAATTTTAAGGGGAAAATGAGAAAAAAAATAAATTATATCTTGATTTTAATAATCGACAAGTAATTTGGAACAAATACTTTTAGAATGTGGAAAAATAATATGGGATAGAGGGAGTGATGAATAATAATTCAAGTATCTATATTTTTTTTTAAGAAGAACGTACAAAGCATTAATGAAGTCCAAGAAGTCACACTACACAGTACACGTCATTTAGGAATGGGCAAGTGGGAGTGGTTTTAGGTAATTAATGAGCGCAAAATATGAGAAAATGCAGGGTAAAGGTAGCTCAGCAACCACATGTAAGCATAAAAAATGAGATTCCTGTAATACTCTATGAGGACTACAGGAGAGAGGCACTTAGCATGCCCCTATATGAAACTCACCGTTTCACCATCATCACGGGTAGTCCCAGTAGAATTTATGTATAGATAAATTGGCGCTTTAGGATCCATATATTGTAGGTACATCAACTCTGCAATCACAAGCTCTGTGACTGCTGACACCAACTGAAAAGAAAAATCGTGATTATTTTGTGCTAATGAAGAAATGAAGAGTAAAGGGAAGTTAACTGAACTGCAAATATAAGTAGGGATCAGTTGTGAGGGAATCTACATATTAGTTATTTATGTATTAGTAATACATGTATTAGTTATTAAACCTTATATCATGCATAAAATAATACATAACTTATATATGTTTTAGTTATGCATGCTTTAAAAACAAAATCAAACACAATATTAATTTTATTCATGAATAATCTACCTCTTTAACTAGCTACCAAACGTGGTACTCCCTCCGTCCCATCTTATATGGGACTTTTCGAATTTTGAGATTCAAACAAGTCTATCTTTCATAGATCTTTTAAACATTTGGAATTATCAATTATGACTTATAAGTACTTTTTACGTAGTTTACAAATATATAAATTTCATTTCAAATAAATTGAAGATTTCATGCGCAATTTCATATCCCAGTACGTAGACCATAGATCATCCTGATTTTACCAGCTTCAACAACATTGTGTGCACCAGCCAATTCTCTCCTTCCATCGATCTTGAGGAATCTTCTCGACACAAAACAACATTACATTCACCATTCAATACAAGGATACCAACCAAGAAGTGCCCTTTCTCATCAACACATTTCTTATTTGGCTTTTTATGAAGACTGCCAGCAAACAGAACAAAGATATGCATCCAAAGGTGTAAAAGGCAAAAACCGTGGAGAAAGATCAAGTATATGTAGGGACTTTAGCTATATAATTTTTTGTAAAAACGTGATTTTTAAGAGGAGAGAGTGGAACTTGGAAAGGGCAGCAAATCTACCGGAGAAAGAACAACAAGGCATTAAAGAACAAAAATGAACTAGGATAAGATGGTAGAAGGAACAAGTTGAATGTTAGCCTTTATTTCCAAACACAAACTTATGCCAAAACATTGCAGAAGTCACTAATAAGCAAAGGGTAACACAGAAAATATCAGATGATGAAGAATTACATACCGGCATGCCAATATAAACTATTCTACCATGGAGCAACATAGAGGGCAAGTCTGGTGGAGGTGTACTCGCTCTGTGCTCATTGTATGATACTGATCTCTCCACCTAATTCAAATAGCAAAAACACAGACCAAACAATACCCATCAGAATATAATTAAAACAATAACAACGAAAAAGCTTCCGATACATTATTAATTTGCTTTACATATAATCAGTAACATTAAAAGGGAGGAGAACAAAATCATCCCAAAATTAAAATAGAAATGAATTCATATCACACCAAAAGAATTCAGTTCAGAACAGACTCCTGACAACATAAGCATCCTATTGCAGCCGCTTCTTTCCTATACAATCTCTAATAAAATCTACAAAAAAAATGATAGAAATTTTAAAAAAAAAAAACGCTGTCCGAAAAGAAGAGAATGTGAGGGTCAATAGTCTGTATCTATACATATATTTCTTATTCTCTAAAAAAAATACATATCTACTCTAATTGACAGCCTCCTTTCTTCTTTCTTTTTTTCTGATGGCGGAGAAATCCCCAAAAGGTCCATGGTTGGATACTCAATAGATAACGGTCCACTCGTCTAATAGGCAAGATACAGTGGCTTGCGTCAACACATTTTTTTCAGTTGACAATAATACTCAGAAAATATTTGAAAAAGATGTAATCGAAGAAGAACGTTCTACCATATTGCCAACAAATTGGGAGTTGGTACAGAGGTATAACTATTAATCATTTAAGCCAATGAAAAATCAACTACATACCTGAGCAGGAGTAGCCATGAGCTTAGGGGAGTCGTAAATGTCCAAAAATGGCGGCATATCAGAATTTTGAGGCCGAGAGAAGAGTGCATCTGGATTATTTGCAGCAACAGAGGCAAGCTTACTTAGAAATGGGTCCTTAGGGTTAAAAGGAGGCATCGGAATGTTTGAACTGCTATTGCTATAGGCTGCACACCGAAAATTGAAGCTACGGTGTTTCAGTGTCATCGATGAAGATGAAGAACATGGAATTGAGGACGCCATGGGCAACCGCAAGCACGTGGCCATGATTTCTCCACGGATGAATTTCGATTCTTCTGGTCTCTTTCAACGGAAGCTTGAAAAGAAGAAACTGAGGTCTAGAAGTATAACCAATGAGGATGTGGAATTTGGATAGTGTGACTTAAACGGGTCGGGTCATGGGAGATCCGACCAGTCCATGTATCGGAATGGGCTTAAAGCCTGTGGAATTTTACTCTGATGGGCTTTAATTGCCATTATCATAAGGAAAACTGTGGGGAAAATTGTATAAAATAGCAAACTAATAACCTAAATTAAATGGAATAGCTAGGGTTTGATTTAATTGTGCTCCATAGCAACATTAGCTAAAATTTGTCAGCGTCTCTCTCCCAAAAATCTCGCTCTCCATTCTCGCTCGCCTCTCTCGCTTTATACACATAAGTGTATAATTTTGTTTCTGTTTTGTATAAAGCGAGAGAAAATTGTATATACACATGCAAAAATGTATATTTTCGTGTTATACACTTAATTATACAATTTACAAACATTTTACTTCAAATATTGCAGAGGAAAAGGCCAACGAATTATACAATTGCGAATTATACAATTGCAGTGAAATATAATTTTCTCTAGCTTTATACAACAGAAGTGTATATATTGTGTTTCTGTTTTTGTATAAAGTGAGAAAAGCATATATTTTCTTGCTATACACTTATAATTATGCAATATACATACATTTTAATTCGATTCAACTGTATGCAAAATAAGTTATACAATTGCAGCGAAATAGGCCAGCGAATTATACAATTTAGGCCAACAAATTATACAATTGTATATGTATAGCAAATTATACAGTTTTATGTTTGCTATGGAACGCAGTTATGCAAAGTTTGCTATAACATACAAATATGAATTTTTTGTTTGCTATATGTGAAGTTGTCAAAAACTGTAAAGGGTGAATATGTCCTTAAACTAATTGAAAATATTTAGATATATCTTCGTTTAAAGTTTGATCATTCATGTTTTTGTTATTCAACTTTTGGTCTAAATATGTTTTTATGGGCATTGGTTGTCATGTGAGACATATTCTATTCATTTTTCATTTCTTTACATGTCACATGAGTTTGTTATGTCATTTTGATCTTACCACATGACATTTATATGAAAATTGAAAGATATTCGAACTCATAAACACCTAATTCAATCTATAAATCAACCCCTTGTTAAATAAATTATCCGATCGATTTTCAATAATTTTGTTTAATTTTTATTTTTTCTGATAAATTTTAAAAATGAGTAATTAATTAATAAAAGAATAGGAAGAATATAAAAAATATATAAAATTAACGCCAAAAATTTCACAAATAACCATAGTAACCTTAATGCACTTATAATACAATGTATCAATTTCTTACAAAACAAGCATAATATATTTTTAAAAACAGTTATAATACATTTTTATTGCATACATAATTCACTTTTAATACATATTGTAGATTTAGCATAGTGTCATTATAGATGGTAATAAATAAAAAATATCGCTAAAATTAATAATTATTTATCAAAAAATATCAATCCTAATAATTTTTTATTATTATAAAAAGGAAAAATTATGCAACTATACTAACTTATACTACTTAATTACATATAGTTTTGATTAATTATAGAAAAAGGTTAATGGTTAAGATTGGTCCCGTCACTTTTGTATTATATAGTGTATATTATCATTTTCTTCTTTTATACAAATTTCTCACTACCTCTCTCATTTTCTCTTTTATACATTTCTTATCAAGCGCAACAACCAACTTTTGCGATGGATCAAACGTAGTATATCCGGATGCAACTTATGCATTCGAATATTTTTAATTTTAAGGAATTTTTGTAAAATAAAAAATTAGTACGAATAGAATTAAATTTATATTTTACCATGTAAGTCTATAATTTCTACTTTTATTTTTTCAATGAGCAAAAACATTAGTATACTAGATAAGAACCAAAATAACACCTATATACAATAGTCCTATTTTTCACCTAACATAACAATAGCTTTTAACATAAATAATTAATTAAAAAAACAAGCATAAATGGAAGAGTCATGCTACACAATTTATCAAAAGTACTATTTTTCATTCCAAGGGCATGTAAGGGTGTGGAATTAAACACAAACGTATTAAATACCTATTTAGATAAAGATAACAATGATATTTATAGAACAGTTTGTAGCATCACATAAGTGTTATAGGAAATGACATACTAAAGTGTAATACATGAAAAATTACTATTTTGGCCTTTACAGTTTACAGTCTGTAAAAATTACAAGTTTGTGTCTAAACTTCATTGCTACTAATTAGTATTTAATATTTGTCATATGTGATCGTTGTGGAGACATGATCTTAGTGCACAAATGTGTGATTAATTTTGAAGGCAATGAGGTCACAGAAACATCTAAAAGGAGCAATTTTAACCGATGAAAAAATTGAAATCGGTATTTCAAAATATTTGAAAGTTATTTTTTGTCAAGATTTATATGGAAGTTTGGATGGGGTTGGCTCAAGCAGATGTTTGTCATTATACTTGTCATAATGATGGACGATTTGGTGAGATGTCACAACTTTGTACAAGAGAATAAGATGGGATCTCCGATTTGAACGTTGATCAAGATGCTACAACACTGAAGAAGTTATTATTTGTTCATTTTGTATATTTCACTAATTTTGAAGGTGTAACTTTAACAACTTCTAATTTATTTATTTATTGTGGGGGATGGGGGTGGGATAAAAAAATTGAAGTTAAAAGCATTTTTGAAAAACAAGCTTCAAATTTTTATTTTTTGCAAGGGTAGTGGTTTGGGAGGGGGGGGGGTTGAGGGCGGTGAGAAAATATATTGATTTTTTAAATTAAAAAAATGTAATTTGATGTTGAAAGAGTGTTTTGAAAATGTTATCCTTGAATTTTGAAGGGAAGCTATTTCTTTTAAATTTGAGGAAAATTGGTTAATTTGAAAAATATTTAATCTAAGCAAACATAAGAAAATTTGAAAAATATTTTCCTTCGTACCAAATGCATCCTATATGTCATTCCTCCCTTTCATAAAACCAATGCATAAATTATCATATTATTCTTTTTTTATCTTTGTGAGTGATTAACCTTGAAAATATACATTTGGCCAACTTAGATGGTTTAATAATTGATCAAAATAAATTAATTCATATTAATTGATTGAAAACTTAAATTTCAGAAAAATTAAATAAGGATAGAAGTGTAAAATTGCACCATTTCTTAATGCAAGTACAAAGTAAAAAACTGGCATGTAAAATGGGACGAAGAGAGCAAAAGTGAAAGATTGGATCACACTAGCACATTATCTTGCTTACCATGAAATTGTCAACATTAATAACCACTATTTTAAAAGACTATGTTGGACTCGTCCCAAGGCAGGACTCTAGCGAAACGCCCCAAGACTAAGTATGAGCTTATTTTTATAAAACTAACGCGTTAAGCGTTTGATGCTAAGTCCTAAGCACATCCAACGCCTAACATTCGAAGCTCGCCTAACAATTTTTTGACAAATTATGGGTTAAAATCTTTAGTTGACACTATTGATCTTCACAATTCTTATATAAACGAATGATACTTTATAATTTTTTAATTTATAAAGATAAAAAAATTGAAAGTAACTCAAATAACAAGTTATAGTATCATATCTTTACAATTTGATAACATTGAAAAGATGATTATACATTGTGTAACATTTCTTTTAACAATATGTAATGGAATTTTATTTTCACTTATCATTGGTCTTCATGATTTTGTCATAAATCTCAAAGTTATCATATTTTATTGGGGTAATGCACAAGTAATCTTTCAACCTATGCCCGAAATCTCAGAGACACATTTATACTATACTAAGGTCCTATTACCCCTGAACTTATTTTATTAATAATTTTCTACCCCTTTTTGGTCTACGTGACACTATCTCGTGGGTCCAACGCTAGTTGATTTTTTGTCAAGTTAGTGCCATGTGAGCCGAAAAGGAATAAAAAATTACTTATAAAATAAGTCCAGGGGGTAACAGGACCTTATTATAGTATAAGTGTGTCTGGAATTTCGAGCATAGATTTGAGAGGGTACTTGAACATTTTCCTTATTTTATTTAACTATTTGAAAGTAATTTTATTTTTATTTACAATGGAGTGATATTTTTTTAAATAATATTAGTAAGTTTTATTGATTATTTTTTTCTAGAGGTGAATTGTATAGTATAATAAAAAAATATATTTTTAGAAATAATCGTTCTATTATTATTAAAAGTTAAAGATATTAGATTATTTATACGTATAATCGTATTAAAAGTTTTACTTTTTATGAGTTACGTTAAACATGTACTTAATTATTTCAAACTTCAATATATTTTTATAATTTTATATTTTTATACAATATTGTAAATTAAAAAAAAAACACTAAAAATTCATAGAGTCTCGCCCCACGTCCAAGTAAAACACCGACTCACACAGCCCCATATTTTAAAACGCCGTTAATAACCCATTCCTTCCATGTTCTGAAAAATTACCAAATTTACAAGTTTGTAACAAGTTGTTTCCTATTGTTAAGGCACACTTTGTAGTCTGAATGAATAAATTGTTTTAATTTTTTAATATAGAAACCGAAATCGTACAAAATTTTGGCTTACGTTGATCAGAGACTCCCGAAGGGCAAAAAGGAATATACCCAAACAACAATGAAAACCGAATAGGCAAAACACATGATATACTTCACACAGTACACAATCCACAATACAGTAAACAAATAAAAACTGTTTTCAAAGCACTCCAGATCATATAAAGAACCTCACATAGAACTAAACTGCTACTTGTGAATCATTAAGTAAACCAGTAGGTCCTTCTTAGCTGGAAGCCACAGGCTGAGTACTGAACACCTTAGCAATCTTCTCTGTAGGTACCAATGGAAGATATGAAGCAACCTTGTATCCCTTCTCTGCTGTTTGCTGAACCATCACATTGTATTTCTCGGAATAGTAAGCAGCTGTTGGAACAACCGCTTGAGTAACTTTAGGAACAATGGGAAATTTGTTGAGAGAGAGCCAAGCTGATGCAGCATACTGCTCGGCCATTGGCTCGTATTTGGTGTAAAGTCCCTTAGCGGTGGGCTCATACTTGGCATAGACTGTTTTAGCAAGTCCTGATGCAGCTCCCATCACACCAGCACTTTTGACATCAGCTGCAACAGAGCGAGCAGCTGCAGGAGCTTGCTTGACCATAGGGGGGACACGAGTTTCAATCGTACGAACAGACTGATCAACCTACAAAAATGGTCAAATTCATGTTACATTAACATGGTGAGAACTTAAAAGCTATAACCCAGTAAAATGATAAGCAAACTCAGCGATCATCAAAGAGGTTCAACAATTTGACTCGTAATTTTTTGTTTGAAATAAAAACTTATTTCAACAAATTGTAAGATAGACCGCCAAGATACTTAACCACAAGAAATATCATAACAGTGTCGTTATCTCCATGTTTCAATCAAATCCTAAACCTATTTTCATAAAAGAAAAGGCAGCAACATACTTTATACATCAGAATGATTTCTATCAGATCAACTGACCATTCATCAGGTACATACACAAGCACCTTAATGCCCAAAAAAACAAAATCAATATGCAACCCAACAGCCTCCTCAGATTATAGAACATCTCGCCAAACCGAAGAGCCATTCACATTATGAGATCCTATAATGGGACTATGTATGAAATTGATTAACAAGATATCACATATTTTAACTAACTCTGTGTCTAACAGAAGCTCAGCACCACAACCAACCTAAACACCCGTGCAGCCGTGTTGATGCATACAATCCTAATTATATCTATGCTAATTCTGTTCTTACATGTCACATGCCATAAAATGAATAAATTAAGTCCACAATGTATAACCTACCTCTATATAGGGAATGTGAAGTTCCAATTGTGAAATATAATAAAAATAAATGTAGAATTCCCATCTCAAAACAGTCATCAATAATAATAGAATTCAAACAAAGAATAATAAAATTCCATGTCAATTATATAAGGAATAATGCCTTGGGATCTTAGTAGCTCAAGGTAAACTCACCAAAATGATTCAATTCCCCAACTTACAATACCATCCCCCATTTTCCCTTCCCAGCCCCCATTTGGAAAAGAAAAAAAAGAACAATACCTTGCGGTCAACAAACTTGAGGACTTCGACGGGAACATCATGATATTTATCATAAACAGGGCCAACCACGGTCTTAACGGTGCCTTCAACAGTCTGAACACCAGGCTTCAATGGACCAGAATTCTCTTTAGCGTAGCCATACACCTTCACCACACATAGCGCCGCATGAATCATCGCCACTTGCAAGAATTCCAAATACTTCAATTTCTCTCCATCAATCTGAGCCTTCATCACAAAATCAAATTAAAAAAAAAAACACGCAAATCAGGCAAAAGATTCATCAAATCAAAAATCAATACAAACAAAAAATCAATCGGGAAATGGAGATTTAATTACCATCTCGGCGGGTTGTTGAGGCTTAGGGTTTGTTTCGGCCATGGTCAAAAGATCAGAGAGATTTCGATATGAACGAAGAATCGGAAATTGAATAAAAGTTATGACGTTTGGGGTTTTGTGTTTGGTTAGCGTTCAGTGGAGGAGATTATATAGTACAGGGGCACGCAGGTCAAGGAGAGTGGACGGGCAAGGTAACTTAACCGCGTGGCCAATGAGAAACCGACTTTGTTTTATTCCGTAATTTTGTGCTATTTTAGCTCTATTGTGTGAAGGTTGTTGACTTTGCTGACTACTTGTTGGCTAAGTCATTTGTGAAGTACGTAGTATTTATTTTAATTCATTATTTGCCCTTTTCATCATCTTCTGGAAATCGAGCTAAATATTAAAATAATTGGTATCTTTATATGAAATCATGATATGATAAAATGTGGGAAAAAATATAAAGTGCGAGTAGTTGAGTGAAATTTAAAATTCAACTTAAGAAGTCATCACTGTACGAAAGGGTATTTATTGAGTATTTGAGTATAATATTTTACTTGAATTTAAAATATATTGAAGCAGAAGTTTTATATCTCATAAAATAAAATTCAAATTGTTTGTCTATTATTTAAAAAAAATATATACTTATAAAATTATATCAAATATATTATTATAGTCTTTATAATTAATTTCTTACTAAATTTTAACAAGAAAATTAATGATTTTAGCTTACATTTAATTTGTGCAGTTTGATTTGCACTTCGATTTCACCCTTTCCATTAGTAGAAATGTTATTCATGTGATCCTAATTCATTAAAGAAGATTAATAGTAATGATTAGTTTGAAGGGTGCAGAACATTAACATTATCAATTTTGACCATCAACGAAAAGAAAATTTAAGATAATTATTACATTATAGAAACACTTTTTTTTTTAATTTGAATATAATTTTTTATTAAAGCATTTTAATTTAAATATATTTTTTATAAAAATTTAATTTTAATTAAACTTTCGTATGAATATTAGATAGAAGATGAAATTTAAAAACAAAAACATATAGTAATCTGCTTAAATAATCAAATAGGAATGCCCCAAGCCTATCTCGAATTTCTCAAAAAAAAATGCAGAACAGATTTCTGTCTTCCACTTAAATTAATATGGAAAAAAAGGCCAGAAATTTTGGCCAGATTTTCTATGTTATTTTACGGTGGGAAACTTACGTAAACATACTATAATAAAAAATGTTTATTATTTATAGTAATAATATTTTTTTTATTTGATTAGTTTTAATTCAATTATAATACAAGTTTAATATATATTATAAAAATAATTTATTATTTACATATAATACAAATTTTAATGATGAATAATATATTTATCACACATTTTAATACACCTATAGTACATGTGATAATTTTTTACCAAACAAACATGATATATTTCAAAAAATAATTATAATTTAAATATATTGCATACATAATTCATTTTTAATAAATATTACAGATATAACACAACATTGTTATAAATAATAATAAACAAAAAGTATCGCTAAAATCAGTACTTATTTTTTAAAATGTATTAATTCATGCAATTTTTCCTTTTACATTTTGAAACATTTTTACCTTTTTAATTTTAATATGAAGTCACCAATTAACCGTCTTTTTTTTTAATCATTCCTTATTATGTCAACATTTTATATGGAATTATTGCATATTTATTTTCATTCATCAAAACACCATAAAATATAAATTTAAATTATTAAATTTGAAAAATATACCTTAAAGTCCATCCTTAATGTTGATACTCTCAAAATTAACAATTGAACAGAATCTGTTAATTCTAATTTGAAGGTGGGTGTTGAAATATCTTGTTGTGAACATATGAGTGAAGCTTATGCTGAATTTTGAGCTTATTTGAAGAGTTATTGTCTAGCTTTTCAAGTTTATGCATCAAATAATTGAGTTGACGTGTAATTTATGTTTCCGTTGTATCCATATGTGTATATCTTCCTCTGTATATTCACATGTCTCTTGTATATCACATAACAAGAAATTGTATAATGTATTGTGAGACAGGATATACATAATATACACGCATGATATACATTGTCATGTCTATGTTTAACCATATTGATTTAATATATGAATTTTGACTCCAAAACCATCAAAGCCTTCCTTAAATTTCATATGTAGTTTCATTAAGGTGCCTTTTTCAAGAGAATTTCAATTTCACTAACTAAAAAATCAGCTAATCAATCTATTTCATTTAGTATATCAAGAGAACATTACTCTTTATATGTAATGTAAATTTTTTCCATTTCAATGATTCCCATGTCATGATACTCAGTATAATAGGATTTAAAACACGTTTAAGTACATTTCATATAATTTTAGTTTAAGATATAAAGATTTAGATTTTATTTTTATTGTTTGAACTTTGTGTCTAATCAAATTAAGAGATATAAAGTGACACTTAATGAATATCATATTATGAAGTCTATTATTAAGTAATTATAAAACTATTATTTTGTGTTGGATATTTTTAATTTATAAATCGCTTAAAAATAATTATTCCAAACGTCCCCTCAATATGATTGCATTGTTACTTTATTTTTCCTTAATTTCTCTTAATATTTGTGATCGTGCTTTAATTCCTTACATATATATATATTTTTTTAAAATATGTATATTATTCTATATTTTTTGTTGTAACATTATAAATTTAATCTTCAAATTGTTGACGTATTGCTTTTTTTTTTTCAATTAAAAATTATCAGGCATGTTTAATGAAAAATTATTTTCCTATCATTCTAAACGGTGAGATATAATATATCAAAATAATATAGTATAATACAATATCATAAATTGTGAAGCATAGTGTAACGAACATCCAGACATGCTTGTATGAATTGTTTTGCAGATGATTTCAAATTATGCATAAACAATAATATCATGTTTTATAGTCGGTTAAGAAGTAATTTATCAAGGTATAAAAGTAAGGACAAATTACAGAAATACACGTCTTTCGTTTCATTTATTTTCATCATCCCTTACTATTTTTTAAAAATCTCCAAATCCCTTATTCATTCGATATATTTGAGTTGCATATTGATGTATCAAAATTGCTATTAATGTATTTGAGCTACATATTATGTATTTGAGGTAGTTTTTAATGTATCCAAACTACATATTGATGTATCTGAGCTAGTTTTTAATGAAGTCAAGCTACATATTTATGTATCCGAGCTTCAATTATTGTATCTTTTTTTATAATTTTCAAGAAATTAATGTAATTAAAAACTTATTAGGGATAAATTGTAATTTCATATCAAACTATGAGATTTATGTAATTTACACAAAAAGTAGTTAGGTGTTTAATTTGTGATTTATAAACCTAACATAATTAATACTCATATAAATTAGAGAAACTTTCACATATAGCCACTTAAAAATAATTAATTACTCTCCATAACTATAGTTTGATAATCACAATTTGTAGCTACATGTTATTTGGAGGAGAGAGGCGAGCGAGACTGGGAGAGAGAGGAGAGAGAGGGAAAAGAGCGGGAGAATGGTAAATTGTATATGTATATTGGATACATAATTGTATATTATACATATGTATTTGTATATATGGCAAGAGAGATTGGGAGAGGGAGGAGAGAGATGAGAGAGATTGGGAGAGGGTGGAGAGAGGCGAGCGAGATTGAGAGAGGGAGGAGAGAGGAGAGAGACAGGGCAGAGAGTATGAGAGCGGTGAATTGTATATGTATATAATTGTATATTATACATATACATTTGTATATAGGGCAAGCGAGATTGAGAGAGGGAGGAGAGAGGTGAGCGAGAGATGACAGAGATTGGGAGAGAGGTGAACTGTATATGTATATATGTTAAATAATTTGATATTATATATATGTATTTGTTTATTCTGGCGAATTATACATATACAAACATGACTAGTTATACAAATTTGGAGTCAACCCACATAATTAATGTATATTGTTAGTCGTGAATGATAATTATTGCAAACTATAGCTATGATGAGTAATTAAATAATATAAGTTTTTTTTGTTAGCGCAATATTTCCTATTAATTATGAGAGGCTGAGAGGAAATATGGATTATTTTATACCAAAAAATAGAAAATGATATAACTTAACTTCAACTAACTAATAATATACATAAAAAATATATATATTTTTTACAACTTATCCCTGATTGCATAACTAATCTATCTCATCTGTTTCTGTATTCAAGGATCCACCAAGTATCACGGGCCAACATAATCCACATTCTTTTATGGGCCATTTAGGGCTTCAACTTGAACTAAGAAAAGCCCACAAAAATCCCAGACCTATCATATAAAACCTCGCAATCTAGGGTTCAAGGACAGAAAACTTTGCTGCTGAAATCGCTGGAGGCAACTGTGTGATTTCTCTCACAACTTCACCAATCTTCTTCCAGCAGCCATGGTAATTTCTCTTCCCCTATTTGTATCTGTGGAGGCCTTCCGTTTTTTTTTTATCGAAGTTTCTAATTCGAATTTGTCAATTTCTTTTTCAGATTATCTCAGAGAAGAACCGTAGAGAGATCTCCAAATACCTCTTCCAAGGTCAGTATCTTTGCTTTAATGTGTGCGTCATTTTATAAGTTTCGTTCTGATGTGATTTTTTGGTGTTGTTGTAGAGGGAGTATGCTACGCGAAGAAGGATTACAACTTGGCCAAGCATCCGTTAATCGATGTGCCAAATCTACAGGTTATCAAACTGATGCAGAGCTTCAAATCTAAGGAGTATGTTCGCGAGACATTCGCTTGGATGCACTACTACTGGTACCTTACAAATGATGGCATTGAGTTCCTCAGGACTTACCTTAACCTTCCATCTGAAATTGTCCCGGCTACACTGAAGAAATCTGCCAAACCCCTTGGTCGTCCCATGGGTGGCCCTCCAGGCGATCGTCCACGGTAATTATCTTTTTCAGTTTCATTGGTTATTTTGAAATTGAGTTTTTTGCGAGTTGTGATTAATTTTCGCTGTGTACTTGTTCAAAATAATAATCATGGATATGTATCTGGTTTTTCAGTGGACCACCAAGGTTTGAGGGTGATAGGCCAAGGTTTGGTGACAGAGATGGTTACCGTGCTGGACCTAGAGGTCCACCTGGTGAGTTTGGAGGTGAGAAAGGTGGCGCTCCAGCTGACTACCAGCCTGCTTTCAGGGTAATTGCTCTTTTCTTTTAAATC